TATTGAACATGCTGAAATGAAGAGAGAGTGGTACATGGAGAGTTCTATGCCTGATTCTTTCATTGACAGGAAAGAGAAGATGAATAAATCATTTGTGAGAAAAGTAATGAGTGGGAATGATGTTATAGAAAATTTCTATAGAGGAAAAAATATTGTATTTCTCTGCGTCTCCAGCGAACTTTGTCTGGAAAATTGCTTGGCACCATCTGTTATATCATTTTTGCAGGATTTGGTTGAGTTTGCTAGGAGTTCTGGAAAAATGTGGTCATTTATAATGGTTGAGGACTGCAGATGCTCCGTGTTACTGATTGCACAGCACACTAATACAGTATTGTGGCCTGGGGTATCATGACCTAAAATTTGTTTTGGCCATTTTCTATAACTGATTTTCTCCCATACTTCCTTTCCTCCGTGATTATCTTCCTGTATTAACCTCCAAATAATTGGGTTGTGGGTGATCTGTTTCCTCGGCATCAAAGCAAGGCATCCTCTCACCTCAATCATAACCCACATATATGGATCAGTAATAGAGAGAGGTATAAATCTAAAACTCTCTTCCATGACACTAAAAACCATCAGAGCCCAATATTTCGGAAATTTGACCAAAATATACATCTTATTGTTCAAGCAGAGAGACATGATGTCCTGCCAACTTAAAGTCATGCCCTCAATCTCGTCTTCGGTATCAACATTGCGGGTGATGTCTCTCCATAAACCATACGATGACGATGATAAGTTAGTATCACTTCCTTCTCCTCCCGCTCCCCCTATTGACATAACTTGCAAATGACATTTCTTTCTATGTGGCCCGGACTCACGGTCGGAACCGACACAAATGATGCTTAAAAGCTTGTATGCTTTAGAAGCTGAATCAAACCCTAGGTAGTAAGGATTGGTCAACCAAAGATGATGTTCCCCGGTTCGAAGGGGAACGCCCATTGTGTAGGTCAAATGCTAGGGCGGAATAACAAAACATTTTCTTGTGGTGGGATTTCATATCTTGTCCTTATACCGTATTAACCCTTCCACAATGTCATACTTAAAAGAATGCGTCAAGGAGAAGGCTCTATATCCACTTGACTGATATGGATCCGCAACCATCACTGCTTGCATCTTCTCTTTATAAGGATGATGATGATGATCAACTAATAAGAAGTGTTCCTCCACATCATGATCTCTCCTCCGCTCTCGGCCGGCGAGAAGCCTGACTCCGCCCCGCCCCACCGTTGATATGATCGGACACAGTGCATCTCCACGAAACAAGGGTCGTCTATTATACGCAACCAATTCTTGGATACACATCTCAACCTCAATAAGGAATAAGGATTTCTAAGTATCATCACCACAACCTTGTCCTCCAGAGTAGCTGCAGCAAAAACTTTGCCTGATGATTTCTTCTTATTTTCCTCCTTGCTCTTCTTCTTCAACAGCGGGGGAGGAGAAGGCATCGAGGATTCCATCGTCATATTATGAAGTAATAATTGTATTCAGGCAGCAATACCTAACAGGCTAACACCTGGTTATGTTTTGGCACAGGCAAGGGTTTTGATTATCCGCAAAACCTAAATCGATCTATATGTATATTTGACCCCTGATTTATGTGAATCAGCTTCACAAATTAGAACTCACAGCTGGGAATTTCCTTTAACAATAATAATAATAATAATAACAACAACAACAACAACAACAACAACAACAGAAGAGAGACAGAAAATTGGACAAAAAGATCTCTACTTGGAATTTGAGAACTTCTTTATAACCCTAGCTTTGTTATAATAGAATTAAAAAAAAAAATTGATAACCATATATGTGTGTCCTTTCTATATCAGTGTCCCTAAAATACAAATAAAAAAAATCCTTTCTATATCAGTGTCCATAAAATACAAATTAAAAAAAAAAATTACTACATACTTTTTCAGCTTGAAATAATTATCTAATTTTTATATTTTCTCCTAAAAAGAATGGGTAGTACAACATACGACAATAATTTTGTTTTTTCTTACCCTCCCCCCTTCCCCTTTTATCCATAGGTTCCATATTTGGCGCTTCTTAAATTCAATGGTACTACCGTCAATATGAGGATTCAAAATACGGATTAAAGCAAGAACATCAACAAATAATGAAATGGTGGCACTGTTCAAAACTAAGAAAACTTACGTCATTTACCTGGAATTTACTTGTGCTTTGTGAATAATTGCTCTAACAATACTAGCTAGTAGCTAGCTAGCGTGCCAAGTCGTAGCCTCTTTTGTTTATCAATGTCATTCAAAATCAAATTATTCAATACAAAAGCTCCAAAACCACTGGGTGCGTCACCTATATCTATACATACATACATATATATATTAAATAATACATGGCATTTTTTCACCAAAAAATTATGTAAGTTGAACTTTAACTATCTATTATTTCATTTATAGTTATATACTAAAAAAAATTTAAGCATACATTATATATACTAATGTCACTCTATACATAAATGGACATTAAAATTCAGAAACTGAATACATTTTTATATACTAAATTTTTTTAATTTTTTATATAAATAAAAAAATCAAAACTTTAAAAATTTTGAAAAATAATAAAAGAGAGAAAAACAAAAATGTTTACATGTTACTTGTTTGTTAAGCTAGAATTTTACATATAACAAAGTAGTCTAATATACATGTACATAATGAATTTATTATTTATTTTGTGTTATACATATCCGCTAATAAATTAATTAGACATAAGAAATTAAGTTTTTTTTTTAATTTTTTGACATGAAGTATAAATTGTATTAGTTATATAATAACAAACTAATTTCAATTCTAAAGTATCCAAATTTTTATGCATCCAAACGCAAGAATTAATATTAGAACCTTAATTCTATTCAATTTTGAAGATCTCCCAAACAAAAGAATTAGGATTGAATTACAATCTCAAGATCTCATTTTCAATTCAATACTATTGTAATTCTAATTCAATTACAATTCAATCTAACCAAACGCAGCCTTATAATAATTAGAAAAGGTACTGACATACAATACGTTTATGGTTTAAATTCGTTTGTGACACACTTTCTTTACGATTCTTACACCAATCCACAGATTCTCTGTCTCATTTTTCTCTTGATTAAAATTTAAAACCAAATGCTAGGAAAAGACATTTGAAAATAGTAAATCTTTTACCATTTGAAAGCCCTTTTAGAAAAGAAAACAAAATCTGTGATATGAAGCCCTTTTATTTATTTTTTTTTTACAATAAATTTCCTATACAACAGGTGTGTGCAGCAACACACGCTCTATATTAAAACATCATGATCCCCTAATTTTTTTTGCTAAATAACGAATAAAATTTTTATTTAATTCAGTTCAACAACAATGGATGACGGAGTTGGCTATGAGGTCGTGATTTATTTAAGAAAATACCCAGGTTTCTGGTTGGAACAAATAGCTATATATGGTAGTTTTGGCTTGCGGGATTGAACTTTTGAAGTCAGTTGACAGTAGTCATTCTCAGAAGCTGATTGGGAATCTGGATTTTTCCAAGGGGTTGCGGTTTTAGACTTTTGCTTTGTAATTTTTTTTTCCCTTGTTGAACATATACCTTGCTCGGTTAGGTTATGAAAAGGAATTTCAATATGATTTTCTCCATTACTCTTATTTCTCTATTTCAATCTGTAATATGAAAATTTTTGCAAACTTACCCAATAAAATTATATCTTTATCTATCTTTTATTACTGGTTGTACATTCTACGTGGTACAATTATTGTACAGTAGTTTTCCTCGACGGTGAAATAAACAAAAAAGTAGAGTGCAAGAACCCCCTGTTTGGCTGTTTTCCGTTTTGTGATAAATCTAAGTTTCCAAGGCTTTTTTTTGGGGGATAATAAACCAATGAATTCGCTGGTATAAGAAGATTTAATTTTCTGCCACCTTGAAGAGCATTGTCAAATTTAAGGAATGAAAAAAAAAAGGAAAAGAAAATTCTCCAAAATGAACATTCTCATTCTTATAAGTTTTTTTCTAGGATGGTTGTGTATACGACTCTTGCTTATTGCTCTTCCGATTTGAACTTTCCGATGGCCACCGATATCTCTAGGAGACTGTCAAAGGCACGGGTCTGGACTCTGGAGCAAGGGTTTACCTAATTCTTTTGTTCTTCTCGGCAAATTAATGCATCAAATCGAGAAAACCAAAATTTTCTTGCACTAGCACGTGATTAGGATATAGATTCATGTTTGTTGGTTAGAATATAACATTGTCGGTATCTCTTGTTTAAAAAATGATTTAGTATCATAATATAACATCTTGCCTCTTACAATATTATACCAAAAAAAAAAAAAAAAATACATATGCACTAGTAGTCATCTAGATCCAAAAGGATTTGTGCTCTTGCTGATAGCCTTTCCGATTAAAGAGTAGTAATCCCTCCGTCCCATAATTATTGTCCACTTTTACTAAAATGAAAAATTTTATTTTTGGTCAAACTTAACTATATTTTATCTTAAACAACCGGTATACCCATACATAAGTAATTGTTTAACCACTCAGATTTTATGGATAATGTCTTTTACTAAGGACAAATGTGTAACTTGATCCATAAAAAATCAAATTGGACAATAATTTTGGGACAAAATTTTTTGGACAAAGTGGACAATAATTATGGGACGGAGGGAGTACTATTTAATGGTGGCACAATGCCGCTCAACTTATTTATGAACTTTAAATAAGTAGGTAGGCTCAAGTGTTCTAAAAATCGGCAAAGCTAATGAGAGGTTTAGACTTTTAAGTGACAATTGAAAACTTAATTTGGAGAGTCTTTATCAATATTTCTGAATGACTCTTATTATAACATGTATCATCACGATTGTATACTAGTATTGGATTTGGTCTTATTTCAGAAATTTGGATCCTATATATCCGTGATGTTCTTCTTCCGCTTGAAATTTCCCCCATACCAAAACGCACGTAAATGACTTTTCATCGTTAAGAAAAATATCCAAAATCCCAGTATCAAAATGGCATTTTTCCATGAGGACCAGTCTTCATTAAAACTGCTCATAAATCTCTTGGAAAGAAGAGATAGCAGCGAAAAAAACTTGTATAAATAGCCAGGTCTCGGTAACTCTTGTCCATGCATTCAGTTTTTTGAACCAGCTAGGAAAAAGAAAAGGTTACAAAAAAGACATGAAAACTCCAAACCTTTGTTATAGCATTATTTTGTTGTTTCTGTCGATATTGTTGCCATGCAGCATTTTGGCCGAGAGTATAACTGAAAATGGCTATGAGGGATTTCTTCAGTGTCTCCATTATCAAAACAGCAATACTAATGCCTCCATCTTCAGTGTCCTTTACACACCAAAAAACTCCTCATTATACACATCAACCCTGCAATCTGGAATACAGAACCAGAGATTTACTTTGCCACCTTTTGTATCAAAGCCTCTGGTTATAATCACCCCATTAAATTATCTCCAGGTTCAGTCAGTTGTTTCTTGCGCCAAGAGAAACGACATTCAGATCAGAACTAGAGGTGGAGGCCATGACTATGAAGGCCTTTCTTACATGTCTTATTATCCCAATCCCTTTGTTGTAGTTGACCTGAGGAATTTCATATCAATTTCTGTCGACACCAAGGATCGCACCGCTTGGGTTCAAGCTGGCGCTCGCCTAGGACAAGTTTACTACACGATTGCGCAAAAAAGTCCTAATTTCGGCTTCCCGGCTGGCCTTTGTCCTACTGTGGGTGTTGGTGGACATTTAAGTGGTGGAGGAGAAGGCACATTGTCGCGTAAATACGGCATGGCCGCAGATCACATCATCGACGCCAAAGTTGTCAATGCCAACGGCGAAATCCTTGATAGGAAGTCAATGGGAGAAGATATGTTTTGGGCCATTAGAGGCGGTGGAGGAGCCAGTTTCGGTATAATTCTTGAATACAAGATCAATTTGGTCTATGTTCCGTCTACTGTCACTGTTTTCACAGTGAACAGAACTCTGGAACAAAACGCCACAAAACTGGTCCACCTCTGGCAAACAATTGCACCCAAATTTGACAGGGACTTATTCATCAGAATCATCATAAGGCAGACAACACAAGAGGGGAAAATCACGGTCCAGGCCGCATTCAATTCAATTTATCTTGGAAGAGCTGATAAGCTTCTGAGGATAATGAAACAGAGCTTCCCTGAATTAGGATTGAGAAAAGAAGACTGCAAAGAGATGAGATGGATTGAGGCTGCTCTGTATTTCTCTGATCTTCCAAGTGGATCAACTGTGAATGACTTGCCGAGAAGGGATCCCTATCCAAAGACCTATTACAAGGCAAAATCAGACTATGTGGTTGAACCCCTTTCTGAAACTGCACTGGTAGGAATATGGAAACTATTCAAAGAACCCAGAGCAGAGCTAGCCCAGATGATTCTTGCCCCTTATGGTGGAATAATGGAAGAGATTCCGGAGTCCGAGATCCCATTCCCACACAGAGCTGGGAACTTGTACCAAATACAGCATCTGGTGTACTGGAGACCCAACAACAACACGAAATCTCAACTATACATTGATTGGATTAGAGAGCTTTACAGGTATATGACTCCATTTGTGTCTCACTCTCCCAGAGCTTCGTACTTCAATTACAGAGACTTGGATTTGGGAGTGAACAAGGAAGATAACACAAGCTTTGCAGAAGCCAGCGCATGGGGATTCATGTATTTCAAGAACAATTTCTACAGGTTGGCTCGCGTGAAGGCTGCTGTTGATCCCACCAATTTCTTTCGATACGAGCAGAGCATCCCTCCTTTTGAATCATTTTAGAAGATGATATGAACTACCCCAAATAAAAATATAGATGGTGACTTAGTGCATGCACAACAAGATGAATTATTGTAAAATAACGACTCCACTTCCATACACAACTATATATTGAACATTATCATTCTTATGTTGGACCCTTTTAAATGATGCTTCCCTTCCACCAAATAGTCAAATTCATATTAGGCCGGCCATTTCAGGTCAAATATCAACTTGGGTTGGAGAGATCATTCCAAAGACGAAATGGTTTGAACTTGTAAATCAGGACCTAATGCCATCCTTCTAGGAGAACAAAATGGACAAGCTGACATCAGAGAATGGACTAGATAATTTTAACCAAAAGCACATGCTCCTTGTGCTATATATGCAAACTATCATTGTAAGCTTCATGTTATTGCAAGTGAACCTCTTCGTATACACTTGAAAAGATGAAAACAAATCATGCATCATTGCTGACAATATATCTCTGGTAGTCAGGTGTGCTGATTCAGACACAGGAACTGCAACTACTGTTCTTCAATATGCGGACGTGCGGATATTTCCAACCCCAGACACTTCTGATGGTGCCCTTGAAATTCAAAGCTAAGAAAACAACAAAGCGTCTTGAGAATTATGCAAGGGGTGGAAGCAAAGCACGTTCAGAGGTCCTAAGTAACAAACCAAATATCGCACAGTTCACACAATCATTCCAAAACAAAATCAGAAATCCCAATGATTAGAAAAAGGGTGACAAACATCTTTTATTTAACATAAGTCTTAAAAAAGCAGGCATCAAATGCAAGACATTATACATGGGAAAAGGAAATACATCAGTCCCGTGAGTAAGAAACAAGAAACTAATAATAATAAACCTATTCTTGCAATGCTTTCTTAGCAGCATCATCCTCGGCTTTCATCTTCTGCTCCCATCTTCTCTTTCGATAATCAGCTAACATGGCAGGCATCCTCTTCATCAACGCAGCAGTGTTTGCACGCTTTTCGGCAGAAATTCTGTCACATTTGTGCCCTTTGCGGACGTTTCTCATCTCCTTCCTTGCGGGATCATAATTCCAATCTCCCCCAGCAAGAAGAACCTCTTTGCGAAGGCGAGCACGATGACGGGCACTAATCCCAAGAGGCTTCCAAGCGCCAAGCTCCCAATAACCCCAAACACCCTTTGACAACTCATCCTTGTACTTCACCAGCTTCTCTCGCCACGGGTATTGGTATTCGCCGACTGCCTTCGCCACAGATTTTACTGCCTTCCCCGCCATCAAACCCTGTTTGAGGCCAATTACCAAACACTTAGTAGGTGTCATGGAACTAATGATAACGACAGTAATGATACATAATGGTAAGGAAACTCATGTATTCAATTCATATATAACTGAGGTAATAACAACACAAGTAACTGTCTACATAGCATCCATCTGACAATCCAGCAGCGAAATTCCTTACATTGAGTGTACTGTCAAAGCACAACTCGCATTAGAATGCACGAGATTCATGTAACTTGAACCCCATCACAATGAACCCACCGTCCTAGCAACATCTAACTAAGGGATACATAAAATGTTTATACTATTAAAACCATATTTTCCTAACTTGATTACTGGAGAATCTTCCCAGGCCCAGGGACTCTGACTATGCTGTTCTGTTTTGTGGGTTTGAAGGTCTTAAGGATCAAATTACTTAAGTCTTCTTTTAGAAATCAATCAAATAATGTACATAAATCAATCCTCTTGAAGCCATCATACAAAATAGATTGAGAATCCAATAAGCAAAGATTCATCCTCACAGTGACAGAAGCACGTTAGCTAAAACAAAAGTTCAGTAAAGACAAATATCAAACAGTTGGGAGGCATACGTGTGGATCGACAATAGAGACACTAAGAGAAGCAATAAAGCCTTGAATCACGAGAAATGATATAGTTCGAGTAACTAATTATCCACAATCAGTTCAACATAACTATGAATGAAACGGAATGAAACTGCAAGCGTGTAAGCAAAGGGTAACATCGAACACCCATTTGGCAGCCATGAGAAGAGAAGGATACCTGGTAAGAAAAGGGATTCGCTGGATCGAGCTGCTTGCTGACGGCGAAGAGGACTGAGCAAAATTTGGGGGCAAAAACGATAAACTGATGAACGGAACAACGGACGAGTGGAAGAAACACAAGAAAGTGGCGGCCGGTTAGACCCAATTAAGAACCTCCCGGTGAACTTTTTCCTACTTTATTTACACTAGATGAATTGGACTCGGGCATATATACAAACATTGTACAAATTATATAATAGGGAAAAATTGAATTATTATTATTAATAAAAAAAAATAATGAGTCGCACAATCGTGCATTACAATATCTATAAAAATATTGTACTACTAAAATATCACTTCTGATTTTAACAAAATCGACATAGTATTTCAATATGTTCCCAAAAAAAAAAAAGAAAAAATGGACATGCAAAGTGAGTACTAAAATCCAAGCAAGTTTTTTGTATCATCAAAATTAGAAAACAATACCTAAAAAAAAAAACAAATCAAAGATAAAAATTAAATTCTAAAAAAAAAAGAGAAAAAGATGGAGTTGAACAAAGAAAGATGATTACCTTCAATAAACTTGTGATGAGAGATCGTGAAGCATATAAAGCAAAGACTCAAAGAGAGAGAGAGAGAAATGTGACTATATTCTTACAATTATAGTGAATTATGAAATAATTTTTCAAACTATCATTGATGAACTTATTATATTATAAAAAAAAAAAGAAACAAATTAAGGAATTCGATGAGGTGACTGATCAAATTCACCTATTAAATGAGAAACTAAAGAAGAAATAATGAAAAGAAATCAAAAGCGAATAAGTCTACAAAAATATGTGTAACAAACTATCAAATGTCAATTTAACACTCAAATAATGAATAACTAGTTTATCACCCCGGACACTGTTTAACATGTTAAAAAAAAGAGTACGTAGAATAGAAAGAAAAAAGTATTTTTTATGATAAAAAAATTTTACAGGAAAAAAAATCAAAAAAATAAAATAACGCCAATCTTTGTCAATTTTTATTCTAATATTTACTTCCAAAAATAGATGCCTAAAATTAATTGACCCATAAAATTAAATTAATCTACTATGGTAATTTTAAACAGATGCTTAAAATTATGGCATTCCTTCCAACTCTTGAAAGCAACTGTCGCGTGGATTTTGTAGAGTTAAGGCGGAAAAAAAAAATTTTGTGGAGCTGCCACGTGGCTTTTGTGGCAGCTGCTTCCAATAGGTATAAATTGATTTATTATCATAATATTAAGACAACAATGAATCGATTAATAATGAAACACTGTGGAGAAAATATTTTATACAAAAATACTTTTGGCAAAATAAATTAAGGATAAAAAATAGTGATATACATTCTGCAATTATACATACATATATATATAATTATACATACACACATATATATATGTATATATATGTATATGCATGTATGATGATGAGTATGATAACCTACTCAAGTAGTCCCCCAAATATTTTGTGAAAGTACAAAATGCCCCATTAATTTATAGAAGCTATCAAACTCTCGTAATTGTGATTATTCGGTTTATGTTTTCTTTCTTTTTTTTTTCTTTTTTTTTTGTACAAAACATCAAATTGACCATTCGGCTGTTAAAGTCCAACATCACAATTGGTAAAAGAAGGTAAATCCAACATTTTTGAATTGTGACTCTCAACTGTTTGTTGAAATATAAAAGTAATACTCTCTTCTTATTTATGAAAAAAAAAAAATGCCTTTTGCTTTGCATTACTGGCCAGAAGATAATGTATAAATTCACTACAAGCATTACTTATCTTATATACAGAGATAATGACACACATCATAGAACACAAAGTGGAAGAAGATTATTATTTGCACTCAAGAATCACAAATAAGCAAGCACATGAGCCACTAGACTGTACTGATCACACTGATTTTGTCCTAGCAAACCTTGTCCTACGGGGTTACTACTGTGAATTTTGTGGGTAGGATTTTTGGGAAGAGAAAATAAAACGATTGCCATAGTTGCCACGTTCAGAACACTACCAAAAACACTTTGTGGGCATCGATAGCTATAACAAAATTAAAACATGGAAACCAACACTCTAAAAGCTAAAACCAGAAAACATAAGGCCCAAAAAAAGAACACGCAAGTATTAGGACTAATAGTAACTCTATAGAAACCTCCAGTTTTGTCACAAAAAAAACAAGGTAGCCTAAACCAACCAGTAACCAAGCCTTCTTTTTTTTTTTTTTTTTTTTTCCATGCCAGCCACTATAGCTGACTATTTTATGTCATAACAAAATATCCCCTTCCGGTCACAAAACCAATCATCGATAACAAAGATTCACCGCCTCCAAATGCATCCTGTGTAGGAGACACTAGCAGTAAAAGAAAACCAGCCAATTCTACCACGTTCGTCCTAGTATACAAAAGTTCTAACCCCATAACTCCATACCCGAGCAAAACCATTTTCTCTCCCCCTTTCAATTTCAGATGAGATACATATATTTTATTCATCTCTCCTCTAGGGTGCCAAAACTGCAAAATTTGGCTCAATCAAGAACAAAAATAATAAACTTTCCAGACCTTTGGAGCATCTACTCCCACCAATTCAAGTTTGGCCATTTACACGAAGGACAGCAACCTTATGGCTGACAAAAAATTTTCACCATTTGAAGAAGGTTCCTCCCTGTTTAGTTAGCATGCAACTCCTCATCAGCAGTAGTAACATCTCCATTTGCCACAACTGAAGATGAGCAAACTGAATCGTCAGGTGTAGGTATGTTTCTCGCAGTTTCAGTTTCTGATTTAGGAGTCTCCAAAACTGGTCCTTTACAGCTAGTTTCCTCATTTAGTGATATCTTGCTGATGGAACTCGTAAGAACATCATCAGATGACGTGCCTGGAGTCTGAGACGACCCTGAATCAGCTGAAATTTGACCACCGCTTGTATGAATCCACTTCCTCCAATCATTACGCCTCCTTATTTTGTCACCCTGATCCTGCAGGACCAAAAAGCACCGACAGGAAAGCTAAATAAGAAAAGAAGCTTGATCCAATTACTATAATAGTATCTCATTAACAGAGCACTGAAAACTTTATATGCAACAAATATGTAGTGTTTCCAAAAGTCAAGGTAAAGTGTAAGCAATTTAATGGAAGACATTTGAGAGCATGCTGTAATCACTAGTAAGAGGGGAAAAAAAATAAGAAAGGGAAGCATTAGATACATTGTTAGGGATACTCATCTCTAAAGCTAGATTCAATATATTACCTTTATCTCAACCACCGGCGAAGCTTTCAATGACTCCAAAATCAAGGGAATATCAACCGTCAGTTGTTGTACCTGTACAAGGGACATCATAACAACAAACTCCATCATCCATGCAATCCTCTTCAGCAAATACAAACAAACAAAATATGAAATAAATGTTCCGAAAAGAAAACAAGAAAATGGAAAAGGGGTAAGCAAAAACACCTGCATTGTACAAAAAAAAACCTTGCAAAGAAGAAATGCAATCACTGGAAAACAAACAATTAAGTAAACAACTAGACAATGTTCATGTCACCAAACTAACGTATATCCTAATGTTCAGAGCTCACTAAAAATCCTTTTCAGAAAATAAGGGTAGCAATAAAAATAAGTTAAACTACCTTCTTTTCTGTTTCCCTATTGTGACAGGAAAAGATAACTCCAAACCAGTAAAGCAAAAGATTACAATATAATCAACAATGAATCATCAAATCAACTCTTTTTTCAAGACTTTCACCGATGCAACTAGCTAAACAATGAACATCAGAAGGCTCATTAATCGAAATGACATAAGAATAGAACTTTTTTCAGCAATAGAATCGGGCGTGCATAAACAATTAGCAATAGCTGCAACCAAAACTTAAACGAAAAACAAAAATAACAAAGTGATATGCAAGTTCTGAGCATTTAAACACATCACTGAAGACTTACCCTTGGAAAGCTAGCTATCAGACTGACCGGAACCCAGCCCTCTTCATCCATATTTGATCTTAAATAGTCATCTTTTACCAAATTAGCATCACTGAAACAAATATGCAAGTAAATGAGAATCCCAGTTCCTTTCATAGCCTTTTCAATCAAGAATCCAATCCAATTACCTGAAGTAGTAATCTATTTGCCTAAGTATCAAAGTTGGCAAAGACGGATCCATAACAGGGAAAAATACTTGCTGAGAAGGTGGCGGAGTGATGTACGGAAGAGTTGGCACGTATATATATGGATGCGGCGGTGGGGGCATATCTTCGAAAAAGTAAACACTGTTAGAACCATATTGTGCAAGTGAATGCAACCAATAACGAAGTCCAAAATCCAGAACAGACTTACCATAAGTCATTGGGCCTACATAAGGACGCATAGGCGGAGCTGGAATAAAGGGAGCAGAGCCAGGGGATGGTGGTGTAGGTGCAGGCATATATCCTCCTGGAGGAGGAGGCGGCGGTGGAGGAGCATATTGATTAGGTAAATGAACATCCCTTCTATCATGATCCCGCCTTCCTCCATGATGATTATGATATTCTCCACGTGGACGCCCAAAGTTATTCCTCCTGGAAGTATTTCTCTGTGGATGGGCAGAATGATCATTCGAACCGACTCCACTCATTGGCCTAGTAACTCCTCTCACCGGAGGATCTAATACAGGGGGCGGCACGAAATTCCCAAAATTTCTATAGTGAGGCATCTCAATAATAGCCGGAAAAGGAGGTGGCATTGGAGGTGGAGTTGGTGGTGACGGCCTACTTAAGTTTACCCCCTGGGCTGCAGGTCCGGCACGGTGGTGCCTCGCTGGTCTTGGGCGAGTAGTGTTCCCGTGGTTGGCAGCAGAATTAGAGTTTGCATTAGTATTAGCTTGTTGTTTCGGAGGCATCTGTGAAATTATAGGTCCCTACTCACAACAGATAGAGCAAATTATAGGTCCCTATTCAGAACATGTTCACTGAAAATATATAGAAAATATATATTCTCTGCTAAAAACCTTCATAGAAACAATTGGAGTAACACGAACAATCATTACTAGATGGTATCAGCAAAAACTGCTAACGACAATAAATGACAATCACTGCAAATCCTGTGAATGCAAGCTCGAGCAAATACAATAAAGATTGAAAGCACAACTATGAGATTGTTTCGCATGTGAAAGGTTCGAACCTGAGAACTCGAGGTTGATCCATCCTGGGCTTTTAAGGAATCAGAGGATGATTTCCCTGTGAGCTGAGACGCCTCGGCTAGAGCAGGCCAAGAAACATCTCCCATCACCGAAGTTCCCTCGACAACCAAACCATTCAGCGGTTTACTCCAAGCAGGCCTCTTAGACCGAGCCGCAACCGCATTGCCGCCGTTGCCGTTGCCATTGCCATCATCGGAGTTCTCAGGCTGAGATTCCGGAGCAGAAGAGTTTTCAGTCTCCAATTGGGGAGATTGCTCCGGGGCTAAAGGAGCAACAGCAGCGGCTAAGGGCGGCGAAGATGAGGGAGAACGGGGGGCCGCCACCGAAACAGTTGCAGAGCTCGATTCAGGCTCCACACCACGCACAACCTGTGCCCAAGGGGATTGCAAGTTACGGCGCCGAGATTGAGGGCTGTTGGCGGCACCATCAGCGCCGCCGCCGCCGGAAGGTGTGGAGGAATCGGCCACCGTGGCCATATCCCAAATTAGGGCAGAGGAACAATGTGATAAAAGGGGCCAAAAACAATCAATTAAATAATATGCACAGCAATAATTTACAAACTAAGAACGAATTCAACAAGAGAATAACCAAACTCCTTCAAATAATTAGTGAAAAAAATTGGAAAAAATAAACGGCGAAGGAACGATCACGGCGGCGATGTGGTGGCGGGAGCAGGAGGTGGCCGACCGTGCGAGTGCGTGCAAAATGAAGTATAAGGTTAGGGTTTTCAGTAAAGCAAGTGATCAAAAAGTGTATCTCTATTCTCTATCATAAACCAATTCCTTTAATTTATTAATAGTATTTTTTTTTTCTTTTCCTTGTTATTTTCGGAGATTATGTCATCGTATTTTTCTTATTTTAGGTACGGTTGGCTAACCTGAGTCGCCAAGTGGCCAAAATTACCAATTTGGCCCAGTATATTTTCTATACAACCATTCCACTGTCACAATCATAGCCCTGATTCGGGATTGTTTGATAAAAATTAGTGTATAATTAATTTTTAATGTTTAATACTTTTTTTGAAGTATAATGTTTAATACTGAATTAGAATTATTGAATTTTTCATTAAATAGTTATGGAATAAATAATAAATTTAATTTATTATTTATTCTGTACTATATTTTAGCACCACTTAATCCATTAAAAGGTTCATTTTTTGTTATCAGACATGCTGAAATGAAAAAGTGTTTAATCAAATAATTTTAAGTATTACAGTATGTCGGTAAATTATTAATCTATAAATTAATAACTTCTAACAACAAATAATTTTCTCCGATCCCAACTTGGAACCAATACAAAAAAGTGAAAAAAAAACTGATAAAATAATAAGATAATAATGTTTCAGAAATTTTTTTTATTTAACTTTAGGTCTCAATAATATCATAAATTAATAAATTTCCTAACAACAAAACTTAATAATAATTACTATAAATATTTAATAAAATATGAACTATTAATACTTGTTTTTAGTCCCTGGAGATGATATGAACTATGTATAGATTTTTAGTGTACAGAATAATTTTAATACTTGTTTGATTCAGATGAAAGACAACTGCAAATTAAGCAATTCAGTGACGGTTTTTTTTCTCATACAAATTCTTTAAATTAATATTTTATTAATTTATCGATTATTTAATAATTTACCAAATTAATAAATTTTTGTGGTCCCAACACTATTAATTTATATGAGTTTTGCTGTAAGTGACTTTATCAAAAAAAGGCTCTAAGTGGGTGTATACTTCTCACATTAGGAAAAATTAACCCGATCACGCACCAACATGAATTTTGAATTTTCAGTATCAAACTATCAAGTTTGTTTGAATTTCAAAAATCTTGATGTGTAAATTAACATCATCACTATGTATTTTTAAAATTCCAAATTTGAATAAGTGAAAATTATAGGTTTGAAAACTCAGTGACAAATAATCAAATTAATTTTACAATACCTTTTTATCGGATACTTCTACACGTTTCTTTTATGTCATTGACAAATAATCTTTATGATAATTGTGAGACATACATGTAGTCCTTATATATTTTTTCAGGGAATATGTGTTGCGTAAGCATACATAGGTTGTTATATTGCAGATTATAGGCCCTTAAAATACTTCTAATAGAAAATATTTGAAAAATAAATAAATATATAAAAAGAGCCTAAGTTCAATTGTAGATTCTGCTCACTTTCTATTTTTCAACATTATTATTCAGTTAAAATTATGAAAAATTTAGATAAGAGGGAGTAGAGAATAAATAATTAACAAAGAGGACAGTACATTTGAATAATAATATGTATTAGGACACAACAACTCAATCAAGCAAACATGACTTTAATTGTTAAAAGAATCTTAATTACATTAATTATATTTCAGAAGTTTATTGTAGTTATGTTTTTCTGTGTATGATTAATTAACATAACAATATTAAAGTGCTTAAAATAATTACATATATGTATATGTAGTCGAGTATACAAACTCAAATATACAAAAAATTTTACATTATTGAATTTTAAGTTTTCACCCACATAGATTTCAAAATATGTGATTCAAATTTTGTAAAATTGTTGTTTTGACTAATTTAAGTATGAATATTTTTTTTTTAGAAAAAATACAATTTCGATTCAGTTCATGTCAAAGCCAAAATAAATTATTTATTTTAAAAATTAACATTAAAAGTAAAATTTCTTTTTAGAAATTAGAAAATATTAACCTTTATTTTTATGTTAACATATATATATATATATATATATATATAAACACGCACATACTACATAGATCCCGTGTACTCACGGGCTCCCCATTAATTTTTTTTATGTACAATCCACGCTATTGATAAAAGTAATATAATTAAATATAAAACTACGAAAATATGTTATTTTTACTTGATAAGCAATGTTTATAAGTATATACAATCATTATTTGTTATTTTTTGTTACTAATTAACACAAATTATTTGTTGAATCCTTATTGCTATATGACGGAGAAGAGGAAAAAAAACGCGGAAGAGGAGTCAGGAATAAAACATAAAGGGCTAAAAGCATAAAAGGAAAATATATGTTGCTTAAAAGATTCTCTAAACACGTATTTGTTTCTTTATGAAGCACGGGAATCGATGCAGTAAGATGAGTAAAATAGAAAATAAAATTAATTCTAAATTACCTAAAAATTATGCATCAGCTGGAAGGGGTAAAGTGGAGGGGAAAGGGGTATAATGGATTTTTTTAAGGGATTCTGTTTTAGTATGTAGAATGATATATATATATATATATATACACACATACATATGTTTGTCAAGTAATTTTTTAATTATCTACCTTAAATATTTAATTATTATCATTTATATTAATTGAAATTAAATAGTTTTTAATGTATGTGTTGAAAAATGAAATGAAATAAATTTATTTTATGTGCTAAAGTTATGTTTGTATAGTTGAGCTTTTATGCCACTAATTAGAGGCAGAGGGAGAGGGGGGCCAGCCAGTGCGGCCGCGCCTGCTCTGATTTTAATTTTTTTTAGAAGTTATAAATTATTAAGTTGAAAAAAAAAATTAAAATGAAATTTTCGCACCCCCTTCCAAAATATTTTGGATGATACAAGATAAAGAAAACACTTTTTGTGGTGAGTATATTGTATCTATGTTATACAGTATTTCTGTTGCCAATAAAAAATTAACGTAGAAAAGGTTGCCAAAATTTTTTTTTTCTTTTTTACTGGTTTGATTTTTAAATCTTACTATATTAGAAACAAAAACCACACTTAAGAGAAAGTATCACCATTTGCCATGTGGCATTTCCATATCATATTTTTAAAATAAATTTTTATTTCCATATCTTCTAAACTTAAAAGGTAAATGCAGTCCAAATTTATTTCCACTTCCTATTTTCGTCAAAACAAACAAAAAAAAAAAATCACGGGTTCATAAAAAATCCAAATTATCATCCCCATCGCCACGACAATCGACTCCTTAATCAATCCCTTCTACACGATTAAAAAATAAATAAATTTCTCATCAATCATCAATTGAGAATATGTGATGAAATATACTCCTTTCATATTAGCATGTTCAATCTTTTCATCAGCGATGATCAACTACATCCTCTTTACATCTCTATATAAACACAAAGGAAAAAAAAAATTCTCATTGATCTTGCTTCGGCCGTTGTGGTGGTGCAATTACAGGTATTAAAATTTAAATGATGTTATTTCCACAGATAATTGGTTTGGCTTTTATTATTTTTTATTTTTCCCGTTCAAGAATAGTGTTATTACTATTATTTTTATGCGTCCATCCGTTACAGCTACCGGAGCCGTTATCAGGTAGTATGATGTGATTTCTTATTTGGTTAGTTAGTCTAGAATTTTTGTATGATTTTAGTTATGTTTGGATTGAATTGATTGATTGGGTTTTTGTTACAAAGTGTGGTTTTTAAATTTGTTTTTTATGTTTCATTCAATTAGAGTAGTTTTCTTTTTTTAATTATTGAGTCTCATGTTTTTTTCGTATATGGTCAGTTATGAAGTGTGTTTTTTCTTTATTTAATTGCTTTTGATTTTGTTTCATACTCCCAGTTGACCAATTATTATTATTATTATTATTATTATTATTATTATTATTTTATTTACAAATGAAGCACGTTTTTTTTTTTTGTGTTTGGGGTTTCAAGAATATACATTTTTGGACTTTTTTTAGTTCCTCATCATATAAATAGTTCAGGTCGCTTCTTTTGACTAATTTATAGGGAAGCCTTATATGAATTTGAGATGGAGAGAGAAGGAATTATGTTTCTACGTTTATTTGTGTTTTTATACATCATTTTTACCTACAAAAAAAAAATTCTCAAATTTTAATGGGCTATCTTTTACTTTTTTTTTTTATTTGCCATGGTGAGGTGAGTTCTTTTTTGCTATATCTTAAAACCTATACAAATTTACATTATTTTCATTCTCATATTTGTGATCAACCAGTTTCAACAATTAACCAGTATCAAAATCATATTTTTGATATTTTACTACCTATAAACTTTTGGAAGAAATAGTTCCAACAATTAAGCGTATACCCTTTGGAGGAAGCTAACTACAAAACTATTATAAATCTCCAAAACTAAGTATTGATTTGGCACAACCAATGGAGAACATCAATAAATTATCTTACTAATATTTAAACTTATTAGGGTACTTTTATATTTTTTCTAGCATTTACTTCAAGACATATATTTGATCAAGTTTATTTATATTTAAGAAGTAACACTTATAAAACATTTCTAAAATCTTCAAACATTTCTAATACGTACCGAGCCAAATACAATTTATTTTTATGCCAAATACAAACATCACACTTATAAAACATTTCTAAAATTCTTCAAATATTTCTAAAATATATCGGGCCAAATACAAAATATTTTTTTTCCAGATACAAACATTTCTAAGATCTACAGATATATTGGGCCAGAGTCGCGCATTGCGCGACCAGATATCACTAGTAACTACTAGGAAAAAGATGATAGTTATTATTTTTGGATTTGGTCTTCTTTTGAAAAAGATTGATAACAAAAATGGTAATTAACTTAAGTTCGAACCCAATAAAAAGGCTTACATAATTGTATCTAAATTTATACAGTTTCATAACTTGGCCCAATTTTTTTTATTTATTTTTTTTTATCCTAAAATGTATCACGTTTGCCCGTTGAGTGTTTAATTCGTGGTTCAATCAGTGCTTAAAAAAATTAATTTGTTAAATTTAAAATTTCATCCTACAGCATCCCATTGATGACTAAATAAATGTGTATTCACAAATATTTTTTTTTTCTTCACATTGTGAAAACATATGATTGAAATTGAACACTAGGAATTGATATAAAATTAGTAAATTTTAGTACCATCTTAATGGTATAATGGTTCCAAAATTTGTATAAAATATTAACTAAATGGAACTAATTAAATTGATGTAGGTTTTTCAATGAGGAAAAAAATGAGATTTTAATAATTTCTAATACTTAATACTTTTTTAGTATTTTTTACTCCCTTCATCCCATAATTATTGTTCACTTTGTCCAAAAAATTTTGTCCCAAAATTATTGTCCAATTTGACTTTTTATGTATCAAGTTACACATTTGTTCTTAGTAAAAAACATTATCCATAAAATCTTAGTGGTTAAACAGTTACTTATGTAGGGGTATATCCGGTTGTTTAAGGTAAAATATAATTAAATTTGACTAAAAATAAAATCTTCCATTTTAGTAAAATTGGACAATAATTATGGGACGGAGGGAGTAATACATTTGTTTCAATAATTTTGTCTCACACCCTCTAAGGTGAAATTCTAGCTCCGCCATTGCCCCTAATACTAATTATTCAAAAATATTACTATTTTTACTAATTATTTACCCTTCACTGTCATTCATCCAAATTTTTTCTTTAAATTATTACTAAAAACTAAACAATCATATGTATTCCATAATCACTGTGGAATGTGGCCTGTGGATATTTGTTTCTTATTTGGAAGGGAACAAGAAGAAGCAATAATTTCTTTTTTTAGATGGGTAATTTTAATGATTGGCCCATTATAATGTGGGAAGTTGTAGATGAATCGATCAAAGACAACTTTCAATCCGAGCTTGTCGATTGAAAATGCCCAAACATGAATACACCGAACTCACGGGAACATCAACCATAAACAAAGATGTAAATTATTGTTAAGACATGCATAATGTATTATACTCCGTACCCATTTAAAATTGTATATCAAGATTAGTTGTTAGATAAACCCCGCTGAACTATAAATATTCCTGAACAACATTGTGGTGAGAGGCTGATCGTGTGTATATGTAGTTACACCTAAGTGAGGATATAACATCCGAGTGTATATATGGAGAGTGAAACTTGTTTTTGTTTTTCTAATTTTTTTTCAGGGACACTTTAAAAGTGGTCTCGAAAATTTATGAAGTACATATGATTTGTAAAGTATGCTTCTGGATCTTTAGTTATTTGGTACATGAAATTATTGGAATCGTTTACCTCTTAGGATAATTATATATATATATACATATATATTTAGTGTAATTATGAATTTTTAACAAGAATTAGGTGTTCATTTCTACAAGAATTATCTTAACATGTTTGTAGGGTTTCTCATAAAAAACATCTTCCTCAATTAACTTTTGCTAATCATACACATTATTCAATTCAGAGTTGATCATAATTTGTGAAATAAATCCTACGACTTCGCCGTGAAAGTCAATTTTCACCGTGAAACCCCCACCCTAACATCAATATCGTCTCGCGAAAACATGGAATCCACGTAGTATTTCCATTAGGATAAACAAAAGTTGTCTTTCATTTTTGTTTTTTAAAACGTCGCCTTTAATTTAAAATGGATTTTTCTGTTTTCATTGTTTGAATTGTCAATTTTTAAACCTCTCGGTTTTTGTTCGTTGTTCTTCGTTTGCAAAGAAAAACAAGAGCTAAAATGACAAGTGAACTTCAAAGGAAACAGGAATTTTTATTTTTTTTAAAAAAAAAAGATCAAGAAAGTGAAAAATCAAAAAAGAAAGTAACGCCAATAAATTAGAGCACCAAGAAAGAGTAATAACGTAGAGTGAAAAAGCAAGCCACCCACTGAACTGAAGACTACTAATTGGTCAACTAAATAAAGAATACTTACTAAGTTGTGGTCACTGCCTTAGTGGCTGGTTCTTCTTTAGTCTTGGTCAAAGTCATGTAGAAGAAAACAATTTAGTAGTGATTTGGTTGATGTAGTCTTAAATATTTTTTTTCTTTCATTTAGATTAAGACAGTACGTTTTCTTTTTTAAAAAAGAGAAACCGGTCAATACAGCTTATCATTTCTGTTTTTTACGCTTCTAATTAAAAAAATATAAATACTATTTCAGTTCCAAGATAAAGAATTATTTTGATTCATATATTAAAACTATAGATAATGATTTATGTTGAGAAGTTTTATAGGAAACTTTAACATGAAATGAATCATAACCGTCTGATTTGTGCATTTAACAGTTTAATAATTTTTCATCCAAAATACACGTGGTAGTAATAATAATTAGTTAATAGTAAAGCGCAACAGAAAAAAACTTGCGAAAATGAATTCATGGGGGTCAAAAAACGGGAAAGAGGAGGTAGAGAGTCAGTATCAGAGTACTAGAAAAATTAGGAAGATGAATAAATGCAACACCGAATTTGGGTATGATTTTTGTGATAGTAATATTTTCTTCTTCTTTCTTCTTTTTTTTTTTTTTGTCCTTTTGATGAAAGAGTGAAGCAGCTGCCAACGGTTGCTTACCGACAAGAGTAATGAGAATTTTTATGAAGGCACTTAGTCCCCACTTGGTTGTTGCAGTGTATAAATTCTCATGGAATACAGACTAAACTATAACAGAGAAAAAAAAAAAAAACTAGTATAAATTTTGGTCTTTTCCATTCTCAGATTTTCACAACATACATTTTCTCTGGACTTTTGTCTTTCCAAAGTCATCAATTCATTCTCTCTCTCTCAATGGCTCAAACAACTCCCAACCACACTCAGACTGTTTCCGGCTGGGCAGCTCGTGATTCTTCCGGCAAAATTACTCCTTATGTTTTCAAGCGCAGGTATGTCTGTGCATTTCTGTAAATTAAATGAGACTTTACTTGAAACCGCAGATACTCTTTTTGTTTCAAACTAAGATCCATATTTATACAAGACATATGTCGTGCGCCCTGATTTGATTCATGCATTAGCTGAAACAAACGAAACAAAAAATTAAAAAAAAATACATAAAGATAATGTGTTACTTTGCTATTGATCATCTCTCTCTGGCTCATAAATAGTTGATGAGCGTTGAAGTTATGGCAACCAACAAACTTTGGCTCCTTCTTAAACATTTTTTTTTTTTTTTTGGGGTCATTTTTTGTTTTGACATTGATATAGGACACAATTGTTGTTTCAATTCTGCAAAACATGAGTTGCATAATAAAAACACGCAGATTTTATATATTTTTTGTCGTTTGTATCTTCTAGTTAGTCTTTCACTTGGTCTTCAATTTTAAGTTATTTTATTTACTTGAAAATCACATTAAATTTGTGAACACGATACCTCCATTTGACAATACTAGCAAAAACAGTTGGTTTTAAAGCAAACTTCGTCGTAAGCCGATTAATTAATCATTTTCCCTATCTCAATTTTGCATATGTACGCAAAATAAAAAATAAAAATAAAAAACCTATATCCATTGATTAAACTTTTTAGACAATCAGATTTGGAATGATTATATATGCTACTAATAATCGGTAAAATTACTGTTACACGAAATAGGGAAAATGGGGATGACGACGTGACAATCGAGATCTTGTATTGTGGGATGTGCCATACAGACATACATCATGCCAAAAATGACTGGGGTATCACTATGTATCCTCTTGTTCCTGGGTAAGCTTCAATCTTCATCCCCTATTACAATGTATTGTATAAATTAAGGATGGGTTGTCGTTGACAATTAAAAGTTTTTTCTCCTTCTTGATTATATCCAGGCATGAAATCACTGGGATAATAACAAAAGTTGGGGCCAATGTGACCAAATTCAAGGAAGGGGACAAAGTTGGGGTAGGATGCTTGGCGGCAACTTGCTTGGAATGTGAGTTTTGCAAGGAATCTCAGGAGAATTACTGTGATAAAGTCCAGTTTACTTATAATGGTATTTTCTGGGATGGCAGCATCACCTACGGTGGTTACTCTAAGATGCTCGTTGCTGATCAAAGGTAGGATCTCTGATTCATTCCACATACTCCCTTCCGTCGTCTTATAATAATTATCCAATTTGACTTTCATTTTTAATTTAAATTGTAATTAAAAATGAAAATCGAACAATCATTTTAAGACGTACAGAGGGAATACGTACGACAAGTCCAATTAATATTGTGTCCTTATAATGTCTTTTTAACTTTTGTTTTTCTGGGTGGTAATGGTTTTTAGGTACGTGGTGCATGTGCCGGAGAGTCTGCCGATGGACGCCGCTGCGCCGTTGTTATGTGCCGGAATCACGGTTTACAGTCCGATGAAAGACGGTGGTTTGCTAGAGAAGGATTCAGTTGCGAAAAGAGTTGGGGTGATTGGGCTAGGTGGATTGGGACACGTGGCGGTCAAATTCGCAAAGGCCTTTGGTCATCACGTCACGGTGATTAGTACTTCTCCATCCAAAGAACAAGAAGCCCGAGATCGATTGGGTGCTGATGACTTTGTGCTCAGTACACAACCAAAAGCAATGCTGGTAAGTTAATTTAATCTTGTGATTTAATTGGACAACTTATATCAAATATCATCTTTTAAAACGATTAAAATTATCCGTCTCATTTTAACAGTTCGGATTTTGGTTTTGGTGGTGTTTATTAAATTTTGGTGACAAGTGGATAATTAATTAATGCAGGCCAAGAAAAGGACGCTGGACTTCATTGTGGACACTGTATCAGCTAAGCATTCATTAGGGCCATTTCTGGAGCTGCTGAAGGTGAGTGGAACTCTGGTGGTGGTGGGTGCACCGGATAAGCCCATGGACCTGCCATCTTTTCCGTTGATTTTCGGGAAGAGGATGGTGAAAGGCAGTTTGATCGGCAGCATGAAAGAAACACAGGAAATGCTGGAGCTGTGTGGGAAGCATAACATCACCTGCGACATTGAAGTTGTCCAGACGGATGAGATCAATGAAGCCCTAGACCGGCTGGCGAAGAACGATGTCAAGTACCGGTTCGTTATTGATATTGCTGGCTCCCCAAACGGTCATCATCACAAGCTCTAGATTCATGAGACATTCAGATCGGAAACTCCAAAACTTGGGATTAGTATACGAAAAATCGTGAGGATGTATGCACGAGATTAGCAACGGTTAACGATCTCTCTGATTGAACAACTTCGTATAATACTTGTATTATGTTCTTTGTTGTTGAAATAAATTAATGCTTTCATGTTTTGTTTGTCATTAGAAGTAGAAAAACCCAGAACGAAAATGTACTGATTACTAGTTTGGAGGAACGCTATTGAGATTTTATATAATACATATTTGCTTAAAGTTTCATACATCAAATATGTTTGATTCAACTCATGATTGGAGAAATACCAAAAAAAAAAAGTGGAAGAATCAATAAGATAGGAGTACGAGATACGCGGGATTTTTCGTAACAATGTTTTGTTAAGGCGCATAGCCCTATCAAGGATTAATGTAGATATTCATGGTTTGGGTAGTTATGCAAATTTGAAAAGATAACAAAATTTAATAAGAGGAGAAACAGGGAAATGGATATACCAATTGAATGAAATCCTAAGTGTGGAACATTGAAGTTGATTTGACAAAGCTTTGGTAACAACCACATGGACCGAAGTCTGAAAAGGGCGTTGAATAGAAACCATTACTTTGGAAGAAAAGGATGAAATGAAACTACACCGAGGAAACCTGCTCCCTCCGGCAGGCAATTCGTATTTGCCTATTTGGCAATTTAAGTCCTAGGATAGCGAGAGATCCCGTCAAACCTCATATGGGTATTCTTCACCTTAAAAACTACGAAAGATAAAACACCTGTGGGACGGGTGTTATTTTGTAGTGCAGACTGGAGTCCTTGTAATCTTGTGTGGTGATTTTGTAGAGCAAGTTTACAGAGTTCAAAGCAAAGACTAAAGAACCACTTTCTTTTCTTTCTTTTTTTTTTTTTCCCCATATTTGCAGGGTGTTTACCGTCGACAATAATGACTAATCTCCCTCGCTGAATTGTAAGAACCTCAATAGGTGGAACAGCTGACCAAAGCATTTAAAATTACTCCATACCCATGACGAGGTTCGAACCCTCAACCTATAGTTAAGGGTGAAGGAGTCCCTTCTAACCCTCGACCTATGGTTAAAGAACCACTTTCTAGTTATTTATATGGCGTCATTAAACCAGCGGTGAATGTTTACACTCCAAGAAATAAGCCAGCAAATAAAAGAGGAAAAAAAAAAACAAAACAAAGAAGTTTGAAGCGACTTACTTGCATGGCACACAAAAGAAAGCGCCAAGAAATTACCTCCTTACACACCAAAATAATGCTTTTAATAATTAGATAAAGAAAAAAAAAGGTTCTAGAACAGCATTTCCTTTTTCCTTTTTTTTTTTTTTTAGAGAATGGAAGAAATTTGTAAAACATGATCAATCTTTTAAGACAAAGAAAGTACTATCTAATAGGATGAGGTAAAGATTGGGTTATTATCTTATGAATCCTCATTTTCTCCATTACAACAAATTATCAGAGTTCAGAAGCGCACAGCTGGGGGCTTGAGTGTTCGACACGTCTAGACACGGAGGAGCGTGTTAGAGACGCTCACGTTAGCGTGTGGTTGTGTCACCAAAGCTCCCCACAATTGTTACTCAATTATTCAATCAAGCCTAAAGGCTTTTTAACAGTTAACTGCCAGCTGTTTCTGTAAACATGGAAACTATATATATGGCTCCCTCCCTTCATTTTCAGCTCCTTTTTATTCATCCCTCTTTTCTCTTAACATGGTTCAGAAGAAATGGTCCTCTCCAAATTCAGCTTGCTCCTCAAGAAACAAGGTCAGCTCAATATTTCAACTTCATTTCTTCTCTGTTTTTAGTTAAATTCTCATTGATGATACAAGTAATTTACAAAACAGCTAGCTGAATTAGTTTTTGAAGAAGGGTTTACTATCAAATTATGTCTTGTTGGCATACAACTAAGAATCTCTTGGCAATTTGTTCATCAGGCAGACATAGTGAAGAAGAACAAGTTCATGGATTGATCAGGGAGTCGAACAATGTCAATGAAGAATACATGGAAGTCTTTAGAACCAATTCTTTCATTGAAATGTACAACAAGATTCAAAACAAGTGGGGAAGTAAAAGCATAGAGAAACTACCCTCACCGCGTTCTCTTCCGCATGATCAACGTTTCTCTCAAGGCCTGCTCGATCCAGACTCATCAACCCTAGCAGAGATCCTCCTCAAAATCCCGGATGATGAAATCCGCCAGGTTATTGCTATCTTCTTCAGGATCAGCTCTGAGGCGTGCAGAATATTCGAGTCTGTTCTGAAAAGCATTCATCAAACAAGGGCTAACTATAGTGCAATAGGAAGAGTAATTGAGCAATTACAGCGGACAACAGATTATGATGATGATCAACGAAATAAATTATATGGAAGGCTTGCTTCTTTTGCTTTGCTTAGGAATCCTCTAGCAACAACTGGAAAAGCTCAATTTCAAGATATTCATGATAACCTCTACGAGTCACTTCAACAGTTCACCTCACGAGCCAAAAAGATCAGGAGGAGAAGAAAACTAGTAAAATTTTGCAAGAGGATTGCTGGAGGAACTCTAATTGCCACTTGTTGTGTGTTAGCTATTGCCTTGATAATCCTAACAATCCATAGTGTCGTTGGAATTGCCGCTGTACCGGGTCTAGCTGCTAGCTCTCTGGGCTTATTCTTGAAACGGGTCAAGAACACTAGACGGGTCCTAACCAAGACAACCTACCTAGAAAGACTTGAAGCTCAACTTGACAATGCTGCTAAAGGGATCTACTTACTCATCAATGATTTTGACACCATGAGTCGGATCATGGCTAGGTTACATGATGAAATTGAACACGGGAAATTCATAGCTGACTTGTACCAGAGAAGATCAATGAGCAATGAGATGGTGCTGAAGGAGGTGGTGAGGGAGTTTCGGACTAACAGAAATGGAGTAATTAATCACTTAAAGGAACTCGAGGACCAGGTACACCTCTGTATCCTCAACATCAACAGATCGAGAAGACTGTTAACTCAAGGAATAGTAGTACGATAACTATCAAATTGTAAATTAGACTACAAAGGTGATTGCACCGTGATTCGTTATTTGGTCACACTAGAATCAAAGGGAGCTGTTGGGTAGATTTAAGGCAGCATCTCTCTTATAGTGACAGTAATTGATTTTTATCATCCACATTGATTCAGATAGCCTATCAAGTTTAGGCTCCACTAAGAGAAATATTGACCTATACCTGTTTTAAGTTTCAATCTCAAATATAGAATGTAGTTGGTTGTAAATAGACTTAGTAGGCCAAAACTCATGAGGTTCAACTCTCAAATTAATTTAAATTTACTTGAGCTCATCCAAGTAATTCATTTTTAAGTTTCACTACTCCAAATTTAATAGTAATAACTACACATAAATATAGGTATCTTCTGTATATATTATTCTACTCATGAACTTTTGGTTCAAAGAATTCTTAGACATCAACTTTTGGTTTAGAGGATTCTTAAATATCACGGAAGATCAGGTGTTGAAAATACCCACAAGAACATAAAGAAAACCAGTAAAAGAACCCATATTGTTGTTCAGGAGGACCTTTATGAACATATGAGACAGCCTTCTACTACTTGCTCATACAAGCCACAACTAGAAAGCGAGATGCAGAAATTAACAATATTCAGATTTATCTAACAACATACCTCTTTCCTAGTAGACTTCAGCAAGTGTCTCTCAGTTTTTTATACTCTTCCTCTCCAAGTAAAGAAGCCTCAGTTTTATGCCAATCTACTTGCTTAGGCATAATAATAGCAATATATCCTTCCCTATCAGCCTACAAATCAGAAAAACACAGGGGCAGTGAGAAACACCTGGGAACCATACTAATTAGACTGCAGCCTAGGTCAGCAAATGCCAAATATAAATAAGATGGCGACTTTTGATAGATTATGATAATGATGCAAAACCCACAAAAAAGAATACTACAAAATATAGACACAAATAGAATTCATACCGAAGCATTCAGCAATCCAGGATGATTCATTAATCGTTCATTCACTTCCAACAAAGACCCCTTAACGCAGCACCTGTTACAGAGAAAAACATTGTCTTTTTGGCTCAAGTAGCAAAAGAAGTAATCTGTGGAACAGGGAATATGAAACTCCACCTCACAATATAAGAAGAATCCTTGGTAATAACTTTACATAGTGCTGTATTGGACTCAAAATGTTGTGCATTCTGCATCAGAAGTACAATGATAGGATCCTCATTAAACCAACAGCAGAAAACAAGCAAATCTTGAGTCTGTGTGGAAATAGACTTTATTTACATTCATCCGAAAAAGATCAAAATACAATCACTGTCCATACACACTAGATATCGCAATTTATAGCTACTTCCAGTTTATTAATTTTCATGGCTAAAGCAAAGAAATGGCTGCAATCAAAACTTCGAACATCTCTTTAGGACAAATACACGAAAAACACTTTAAAATCAGGTGAATGATGGGAAAATACCTTCTTCCGTTTACCAGTAACTTTAATCCCACTTCGATCAGCCTTTCCTACATTAAAATCAACGGCAATAACTCCACCTTCATCCTTAAAAGCTACATGACCTGGAGCCAACCCAACCACACATAATCTATCCTCCCCGCCCAAAATTAAACCAAAAAAAAAAAAAAACAAAACAAAACTTGCATAAATAATCCACATCAAATCAAGGCACAAACTACACTAATATAAAAGGAAACAAAATAAAGGATAAAATATTTACCCATTGGCATGTCTATGAACATACTGATCATGTCCAGGTTTCATAAAATCTGCAGAGGGAAAAAAAAAAGAAGAAGATAAATACTTAGTTGCCAGAAATAAAATTTTTCAGGGGCAAAAGAAGCCGGGAAAATAAAGACCTGGAGCATAGTAAGTGACAAAGTTGGATTGAACTGCAGTCGGCGGGGCCAAGGGAAGGTCTGTTATGTTTGGAATTAAAAGTCTCCTTAACTCTGCTTCTGCTTCTTCTTCTTCCGCCTCCTCCGCCCCTCCCTTTCTAGCACTGTTGTTAAGCTCTTCAGGCTCTTGGGCGCGTCCTGGTCCAAGGCTGTTGCGGCTGTCGTCGGGGAGTAGTTCCGACATTGTAACCGGACGGCGGTGATGGAAATTAACGGTCGACCGGTAGGGTGAATCAAGAGGAGATGAGAGAGGCGGGCAATTGAGCCGGTTAGACCGACTGTTTAATTAATTTGGTTGCCTTCAATTGTTTTGGGGGGCAAACGTCTAATAGTGTCAAATTAATAGTGATAAAACGGATTGTTCAATTGTTTTGGGTGATCAAACGGATTAGCATAAGATTTGGGGCAAACATCTAATAGCGTCAAATTAATACAGAGTAGTGCTTTCTTCCCCCAATTTTCACTGTGGGACATCTTTATTTTTTATCTAACCATTCAACATTTTTTTTCCATTTTTATTTTATTTTATTTATTTTTTGCATATTTACATGTGTCCGCTGTGGACATCTAATAGTTAATCAAATTTTTTTCTCCTTATATGACACCCTCAAAATTCACTAATCAACTTTCTTGAATCGTAGGATTCTCACAGTTAATCATTATTCATGGATTTTACACATTTTAAAGAAACATTGAATCGAATTCATTTCTTTTGTTTAACCCCAAAACAAACTTTTTTTTAGTATTATTTTAAAAGAGTAATGATATTTTTCTGTACTTTTATATCTCTACTACTGACATGGCAATCCTAGTTGGCACATCCACATCACCTTCTAAATTTTCAATGTTATTTATTTTATCCAAAAATTAAAACCATAATTTAGCGTTAATTTTTTTTTTGATCGTCAAGTTCATCGTCAAATCAAAATTCCTTTTCTTTCCATTACCAAATTCATCATCAAGTTCAGCCCTATCATCCTTAATAATTTTTGCTTCTTGTTATTACGATCGACAAGCCCGGGCAATCTTTATCACTGGGGCGCGACATCACGTTGAGGGTTTAAGAAATGTTCAATTAATTTTAAAAGAGGCAAAACTAACTAACAATCAACTTCAGAAAAAAATAAATAAAAATAAAAATCTGAGAACTGGGCGTCTCGTCGAAGTAATTATCCCGCAGATCTGGATTCGTCACCGTCCCAAGATGGATATCCCATAACTTCGGACGATTATTAGAATTCTGAATTTCCAGGGCGTATGCTTTAGAATACTCCAAAATATGATTTGTCCCACAAATACTCCGAATCTGCTGAAATAATCTGCTCCCACGAAAAATTAACCATCATCCCGTTCCTGCCTCACCGAATTGCATCATGAATGCCGAATGCCTCTTCCATGTTTTGGCGACCGCAGCACGGGCGAAGGTCAGGTTGTGGATTGTGAGGAGTTGTGTAATTTTTTCCGAGGGCATGGAGACGGTCATCCTTGAGGAGAGATAAATTCAATTCTCCGGCAAAAAAATTTGACGATAAACGATGGGTGCGTATTTTTTTGATAAAATAAATAATATTATAAATTTAGGAGGTGATGTAAATGTGCTAGGGCTGTCAACAAATCGAGTAGCTTGGTCAAAGTTTGGCTTGAATTTGGTTTTAACCGAACTCGAGCCGAATTCGATTAGATAGACGAGTCGAACATGAGTATCAAAATATTTGATTCGAGAGCTCATCGAACCTATTGGAGCTTATTATAAATTATTTTATTTTTATTATGAATAATATTTAATTCAAAATTTTTTTTTTATTCCTTAAAAGTTATTGTCCATTCTTATTTGAAGATGTATTAAAGAGATATACATATTTTTTATGATTTGTCAAAGAATTTTACTCATAGAATACATAGATTGTACTTGTTAAATTGAAATGACAAATATTAAAATTTTTTTGAGCTCAATATATCGAGCATTCGAGCTCAATTTTTACCGGACACAAAAACTCGAGTCAATCGAACCGAACGCGAACTATTCGTTTTTATTTCGAGCCAAACTCAAACTTCGATTTAGTTGTTCGACTAGGTTCGAACTCAAATACGAGCTCCAAAGTTTTTGTCGAACTCGAGCTCGAGCATCTAACTGTTTGCGCTTGACTTGGTTCGTTGACAGCCCTAGGATGTGCTAACTAGGATGGCCATGTCAGTAGAGATATATGTAGAGTTATAAAAATAGAGAAGAATATCAATACTCATTTTAAAATGTAGTAAATGTTACCGTGAAACATCTCTCGGTTCCAAAATAATTATGGTTTTTGTTGAATTTTTTTGGGACAAAAAAAAAGGCTAAGAATTTGATAAAACAAAAATATTCATTACCGCCAGAATGAAAAGCAAAACAAAAACACTGCATTAATCTCCTCACCAAATCAATTACACAAATGTTGCTTATAAATTATTGATCTCATTCCACCGTAACAAATCAATCAATGAATGATGACAATCCAAAAAAAAAAAACCAAACAAAAATAAAAAACAATTTAGCCAATGGAAGAAAGTAATGGGTGATGAAAAACATTGGATCAATTGACAAATCTACAGTGATGGCGAACTTCTTGTCCATTCCCACTAATACTGCTCATCTTGATCATGGAAATAGCAAAGGCTTGAAAGAATTCTTCTTGAGAATTGGCATATTTAGCAACAAGCGCTTTAGTTGAAGGAGTGGTCAACAAGGCTTGATCCGATGAGAAAATGCTCTTTCCCATGAGAAGCAATTTGTAGTATGCATTGTCGAACGTTGTTACAGTGGAATCCAAGATTGAACCCGCACTTCTAACCTTGTTGTGGGCAGGGCAAACTTTCCTCAAGCTTGCTGCAAATGATGGCTGTAATGAGGGATCCACATCGTGGGTCTTGTCGAAGTGGTGGATCCGGTTTTGGAAGGATGAACAGTGAGAAAATCCCAAAGTATGTCCTCCTGTAACCAATGTATGATTAAGTATCGAGTTAAGAGTACCGATAATCATCCCGAAAATTGAAACATCATTAGTCTGTTATCGATTTCTTTAACTACTACTCCTTCGGTTCCAAAATTATTGTCCAGATTGATATTTCATTTTTAGTACAATTTAAACTAAAAATAAAAAAATAAACAGGACAATAATTTTGGGCCGGAAGGAGTACTAGTTAATTGGTGTAGTTGCTGACCTGAAAGGGCCACCAAATCAGCATTAGAAAGGCCTCTCTGAGAGAAGCTTTGCTGCAATTGTGATATGTTGAATGTAGGAGCAGGCAGTTGTTTGGTATCTAAGGCCTTTGAAATTCTTCCATCTTTCCTACCTTTCGGCACGTTCCAACTAGGTCCACCGGACTAATTATGTAACAATTAACGTAGTTTGATTAGTGCACAACATGATACAAATTACCATATATCCAAGATGGATTGTATGATTTTTAGTGTAATGAGTACACTTACAAGTGCTACAGCATCTCTGGCAGCTAAGGCTAGAATATCGGCGCAGGAAACAACTCCGGGACAGAGTTTTTCGAGCTCTGCTTTGACAAGATCAATGACATAGAACGCATGCAATGAAATGTTTGGAGGTCCATCCTTTTCAGCTTGTTGTTTGGAAGTGGAGTTTAGCAGAACAGAAGCGTCACATCCCTGAGTCATGTGAAAAAAAAAACAAGATATGCAAAGTGACCATATTATATATATGTACATTTCAGAAATTCCAGCAAGGTCATTAATTACGTACTCTAACAAAGCAATCATGGAAGTGCATTCGAAGCAGCGCAGCTGGAACGGTTCGATCATTCAGCATGGCTTTCTTAACCACTTTTGCGACGATTGAATCCACATTCGGGCAAGTGTGGTCATAGTAGTTTGTGCTAAGTGCAGTTGCAAAATGCGACGAAATTGCGCAGCACAAAATGAAGCAAGAGATTAGTAGCAATCTTAATGCTGGCGCCATTTAGTTAATTTGTATCAGCTCTTCTTTCTTGAATGCTGATTTGGTTTATGCTATGCTGAATGAATTGTTTGTGATGAAGACTACTGCAAGAGATGGTAAGGTATTTGTAGGGGGGGAACGTTGTGAGATATGAACTATAAGAATAAGATGGATTAAACAAAGAGTAATCCGTTAACTAACTACTGGATAAGAAGTAAGATCACTTTTAGTAGGTGAGCTGAAACAATTGAAGTTTGATAGAGTAGTTAGTAGCAAAGCTGTGATCATAAAACATTCAAGAGCTCGTGCAAAAGTACTTATTTAAGTTATCTTCAAAGGACAATGTGGAAGAATGTTTTCGAGTTGTTAACTGAACTAGATTTCTTACATCATTTTCTCCCCTCATAGAATTGATTCACATCAACTATTTACAATAGATTTCATTTAAAATGACGTTTCTAATACACGAGTGACATATAAAAAGTAGAGAATTCTTATTATCGGAGATTATATTAGGATATTGATTTTTTTTTCTTTACTCATTCTCTTTATTTATTAGAATGAGGATGCGTTTCGAATTAACGTCCAAATTAATTGTCACTTAAAACTTTATGTTTGTTGTAACGAAAATAATTTCCTAATTAGAAAATGTGACAGAAGATCTTATCAAAACTAGTTGACATTTGGTACTTTTGCACGATCGACATTTACCAACATTCATCGATGGTACGTTAAATAATGTTTGAGATCAATCTTTTCGCGCTTCAGTACAGAAAAAATGCACTTCCTAGATATGGTACTTTGTACTGACGCAGACAAACTGAAGAGCGAAGCAAGCTCACGTTTTGGTGAATTAGGTTGAACGAATAAAGGTGACAAACTAACTGCATTCGGCCCAGTTTGCCTTTCTGGTTGCCCGAAATGGTAACTTTTACTTCCTCAGTTCTCTTTTGTGGTCTGGTTGAGTTGGATTATCAATGATTAACTACCACAAACTCAAGGTTTTGGACGTTTCTAGCCGAAATTTTGTGGGCTAAAAAAACCCACGGTTTGTGAATGGATATTGGAGGTGGATTAAGCAGATTAGTGACTCATTTTCCGTATTCAATCTCTCATTTTCACCATATTGCAAACATAGAAGGAAAGGCCAAAGGGTTTGGATCCATACTCCTATTTAATAGCCCAATATGAGAAGAGCGCCCATAAAGCAAAGTAGTAGTATTACACCCATTTGAAGGAGCAAGGAAGGGACGTTGATAGTACTCCCTTTGTCCCAAAATTATTGTCCAGTTTGAAATTTCACTTTTAGTACAATTTGAACTAAAAATAAAAACTCAAACCAGACAATAATTATGGGACGGAGGGAGTATTTGTTAGTGACTGACGCATTGTTTTTTTATTGTCCGCCTCCACTTAAAAGGCGTGAATTTTTTGTACTAAGCGCAAGTTTTCTTGTAAAAAAAATATATAAAAAAATAAAAAAAAAAAAGGAAGGAAGCAGTAATAATTCTCAAAAAGAGTAAAAGTCTAAAAGAGAGATGGAAAAAACTGGAGTAAACTGATGGATGTATGTAATTCAAAAAGTTAGTTCAAAGATTACAACCAGATTGGGGAGAAGAACATATGAAATCCTTTCCAATTCAAATAAACAAAATGCTGCCTGAACTTAAAAGCAGTTTGCTCCTTATTTCTCTCTTCCTCCCAAAATGAAAATTGAAAAAATGACCAAATTGATGACTGAATTACATACAGAATGGAAGTAGTAAAGACAGTGTAAAAAATGTATAAACAATCGCCCCTGTTTTTCTCATTTCTGGACGATTGAACCAGCTGGGGTGGGCTCCTCGAGTTCATGGGTTCTTTCTTCCGCATCCAAATATTATCAAAACCCAAAAAACTTTCAATTCTCCTCGTCTTCTCCCGAAAGAATCAAAATCCATCCATGCTGTTTTTTGTTTGTATAAGCGCCAAAAATATATATAGTTGTTGTATATATATTTGTATTGGCGGGCTGCTTTCAGGTAAAATAGTAAGCACGCCGCTGCCTGTAGAGAAAAAGCCTCCAAAAATCCAACAAATTCTATTTAAAAAAACCCAGGAACTCTGAAGCCGCTTTCCTTCCAGTTTCTTAGTAGAACTGCAAGGAGCTGGAGAATGTCTGTCCGAACTGCCAATTTGATGGGACAATGTTGATGAAGTCTTTAGTTTGTCCATCCGAGGTGGTTACTCTGAATGAAAGGGATTGACCATCCAGGAATATGTTTGACTGCCAATTGGCTCCCCAATTCCTAGACATTGGCATCCAGTTATTGTTTTTTTTTGATCCTTTGATTTGTACTGCAGCCACTGATCCAGGACCTCCAACATTGGTGATCAATACTAGTTCAAAGAAATCCCTTCCATTGATTGTGAATCTCACTCCACCATGTTTCTTGCATGGAACTCTGCATCAAATCCCCCAAAAAAATAATGTCACATTAATCATTTGTCATTTGTAACACATGTGACAGTGAAAATAGTAATGCTTGATGAAGTGACTCAAATAATTGATTCTATTGATGTAAATCATAATAATACAACAATGTGACATGCATATAGTATTACAGAACCCTATTCTAGAAGGTTTTAGAATACACATTGACAAAGTGATATACAAAAGTGACAAATCGTACAGTAGGGCGAAAAGATTCAATACCTTTGGTAGAGGACAGGGACAATGCCACCCCTGTAGATACCAATCTTTTCCCAAGCTGGTTGAGCCATGTCGAAATGGGGACGCGGCGGGTTGCACCATCCTCCATTGTTGCTTGGAAGGTCCCAATTTGGTGGGCAGAAATTGGTGGCAGTAATGGTAATAGACACTCCTTTCCGGCACCAATCGGGATCTTGTTTGTAATCACATATAATCTTGTAGCATTGTCCACAAGATTTGCCGTCATTGAACAATGCTGTGCTCAATGCTGCAGTTCTTGTTCCATAACCAGTTGAATACAAGTTTCCATATCCACAAGCACCCCCTGTTTCATCATCATCCAAAACAAAAAAAAAAAAAAAAACACAATCTTAAGCTTTAAGTGTTTAATCACACTAAAAAGATTAATTACATTAGTCCTTAAAAAAAGAACTAACCCATTGTGCCAGAGGCATCACTGCCTCCATAGAAGGTAGCATGAGCACTCATCCAACCAGAAGGTGCGAAATTTGCATTGGCATTTGTGAAAAGTACAAAGGAACAAACCAAGAAAGCAAGTGACAAGATGGTGTTTGATGCCATTTTTGGCAAATTTTAGAAAGGAGTAGTAAGGAAGAAGAGGGAAAGGAATGAGTTGATGAAAGAAGATTGGTGGGGGATGAGAATTGAATTCAAGAATGTGGCCTATATTTATTGGAGTAGAGCAGAGCAGGCTAAGCAGGGGAAGGAGTTAGATGGGGGGTGACTTTAAATAAGCTGGAAAAGAATTCTGCAATCCTAACAGCCTCACATGGGATCACTGCAAATTGGGGTGGGTTTTTTTTAATTACTTACAAAAAAAAAGGAAGAAAATTTGAAAGGAAAATTGATGGTGGGAGAGAAATTGTGGAAGAGTTTCAGGCAAAGCCTCTTCTTCTTCATTCAATTATTCCCACGTTGATAGGTCACAAGGTCGTTTCCACACACCCACATGGAAGATGGAACTCCCAACAGAAGAGCCGTGATTGGATCAAAATCCCATGACCAAATTGCTTTAAAAATTACTTTCATTTTTTTTCCTCCCATTTTAATTTGATATCATGGGTTATTGCCACATGAAGCTTAGCTCGACATATTCAATGTCTTCTGTAAAAACTGTAAATGAAGATAATGACATATAAATATATGGTACGTTTTTTTTTTTTTGGGCAGGAAATCATCTGATGCAACCTCACATGGGATTTCCTTTGACCTTACCTATGTAGAGAGAAGCACATATATGTTGACATTAAAATTTCTGAGGATTTACTAATCGGTTTTAAACTATAAGATCGATGCTTTTATTGTTATTTTTTGGGGAGGGGTTTATGGGGAAGGGTGACTAAATTCTGTTCCAATCATCCACATGTGTAATTAATTGCCCATATGATCAAATGGTGATGTAATTAGAAGGGAATCTACTGCTGAACTGCACCCCTCATTACCATTCATTCAATGTACTGATGAAGTACTTATCTGGGACTTTTTGGGCGTTTAAACATTGTACACTTTGTAATCCAATGATCTTCTACTTACATTATTTTAAGAAGAAGATATTGGATGTATGGGACCTAGAAAGCTAGAAATGACAAGGGCTAGATTCATTATCAATTATTTAGGGTTTGTGATTTGGACCCTTTTTTATCATTGAGGATAGAGGACAGGGTGTTTTGAATTGGAAGTTGTATGGCAAAGATTCTTTTTGTGTTGAGGAATACTTAATGGTAGTACGAAATAGTACTCAGCCAATCTTAACTACTTAGCTCAAGATTGGCTGCGTCTCTATTTAATCGTTTAACTTGTTAAACTAATTCATTTCGATATACATATAATTGAATTCTATAAAAAAAATTATTATTCCTTAATTATTAACTGGTCAATACAAAACCGAGTTTGGTGTTAGCTAAATTTTTTATGGAGTTCAGTCAATTTATCACGAAAGATGAATCGAGAAAAGAAAATTCTACATTTATTACTCACATAAACATAATTTCACAGCGGAAAGAGTCTACCATGTTGAATAGAAATTAATTTAAAAGTGATATATATTGGTTTAAAAGTGAGAGACAGTGACAGAAACCAAGAGGGGTTAGGGTGGTCAATCGACTCCCAGGTCAGCCGGATTTGGCCGGATTTTTCTCTTAATAGGACATCCGTTAATTGAAATTTTTTTAGTTCAATTTTTCAGTCAGGATTGAATAATCTTATTTTTGACTCCGTGATTTGAAAGTTCTCATTCCGTCGCCGGTGAGAGGTCTTTTCTACACCATATAAGTAGAGCTATTTATTAACTTTTGTACCGTGGTCTGCATATAAGTGACTACTATTTCGATCTGATCCAATGAAGGGGGAAAACAAACAAGAAAAAAGTAAGGGCAAAACAAAATAAAACAGAAAACCAGTCGAGGTGCATGTGGATGATGGTGAATTTATTGATGCAATGCCTCCATATGGGACAAATGAATGAATGAGCTTTTGGCCTGCTATCATTTATTATCTTCATAAAAATAAATTAAATTAAAGTTATGGCTAAAGAGATCGGTGATTTAATCAAATTTGGCGGGTAACTTAAAAATGTCCAAATCCAAATCCAGTTTTTTTAACTTTTTTTTTTGTGGGTTCCGTCGGCCGCGGCGAGAAGACGTGAGATGTCGTATGAATCAGAAGACAAGACAGTATGATAACCAGGAGAAAGAGAAACCCCCTTTCAATTTCGTTGAATTTCGGTGACTATAATTAGCCTCCCAGAAAAAAGAAAACAGATAATTTTATTTTTAGTATATTATTACTACAAGTTGGCATTATGTTGATTGAGAGAGTTTTTGGGTATCAACCTAATCAGGCAATGCAGCAAACTTAGATCTTAGTAATAGTTCATTTCGTGACAACCAAAAAAAAAAAAAAAGGTAATTTAACAACATAAATTATTAGTATTATTTTGTAACAGGACAAACTTATTCTCCGATTAAAAAAATGTTGCCCAACCTTACGTAGATCTTCTCTATAGCAAAATAATAAATCCTGTAATGTTGTTAATCCCGTAATTATCGGTATAATCCAGTACGGTCAACGTACTACATCATCACTTCCAAGTTGACCACTAAAATGACCCGAGAACAAAAAAAAAAAAAAAAAAGACTGGTTGATGAATTCCCATGTCTTTCGGCTCAAGAATTAGGTTCTGCGGGAAAAATTTCTTTTACAGCTAATATTATGAATATTGAGGAAGTTTTTGTGAAGTAGTCAATGTTTGTTACAAATCGGTGTGCGATAGGTATCATTTTCATTGGTATGGACTGGTACTGCTATTTATTATCCTACTAGTATTTTTTATTGTAATTCAACAAAATATTATACTCACTCCGTCTCATAATTATTGTCCAGTTTAAATTTTTATTTTTAGTTCAAATTGTACTAAAAGTAAAATTTAAAAGTGGACAATAATTTATTGTCCAGTTTAAATTTTTATTTTTAGTTCAAATTGTACTAAAAGTAAAATTTAAAAGTGGACAATAATTTTGAGACAGAGGGAGTAATTGTTTTATTTTGGATTACTGAATAAGCAAATTATTGGGGAAAAACATAATGAGAATTGAACGCCAAGTAAATTTATCAACCGAAAAAGGGAGAGAAGAGGAATCCTTAACTACCAATCAACTAGAAGTCTAAACCGGTGACATAGATAGAGAAGAAATACGGATGCCAATGATTGGAAAAATTAAGCCAAAAAAAAAAGATACCAGTTATATATGATGTGGAGATTAAAGTACTCCGTATAATTAGAAGTACATCATATGGCATAACATGAGGAGGTCACCTTGGGATTCCAGCAACTGACCGTACAGCCAACCGGAAATTATTGAAAGATTCTTAAACAGTTTGCAGCAGCTAAGGATTAATTTAATTTCAAGTACGTAGTTAAAGAGGATGCATCGATCTGCCCCAATCTGATGATGATAAGCCTCCCATGGAAACCTTCAAATAAGTGCAGTTGCATGTTGATTGCAGAATTGTTGCAGAGTTGACTCTCCCCTTTAATTAATGAATCAGATTAGCTTTCATTAATTATTATGGTAGGATGAACAAAAGACTTTGACCTTCATTTGGGGTTGTTTTTGATGCTTGGAAGATTGATCCTAGGGATGATGGTTCCAAAATGTGGTCACAATCATTAATCCTCCCTGACAAGTGGCAACTTTCTTTTCTTTTCTTTCTTATCTAGGTTTGCTAATGGCAGGAAGATAGATTTGTATTTCTACCGTCCGGAAATAATTACCATATTTTATCACGGGGCGGTGGCCTTCATTCTGATTGTATAATTTTAAAGTTATTATGATGAGCAGGAACATACACAAAGTCGGTTGTCATTTGAGAAAGTCGGTTGTCATACCAATGTTGGGGTTGGCAACATTCAGGAATGAATTTGTCTGCATGAGATTGGTCGTTGTATATCTTTGTGTAACTAACTATGAATCACATTGAGATGATATGATGATTTATTGATTGAATTGTGTATGAAAAGGAAAAGGGTTCCAAATTCAAGTGCCTATGACTATTTTCCCTTGTTTGGAGCATAAGCCCATCAAAACTCAACCTGGACTGCGAAAGCCTATCAAAACACAGGTGTACAGGACAGAACAGAAAACCAAAATGACCAAAGAGGCAACTTGTTAATAACTTAATAAAATTTGCAGTTAAGAGGCAACTTGGAGCTTTGAATCAGCCAGCAAAGGCAGCATCGATCGCTGGAATATCTTAAAGACCAAAAAGAAAAAAAAGACATCATTCCTCAAAGTTCTCCACAATCATACTTGGTCATTCTCATCATAATTTCAATTGCATACTTAGACAAGAATTTTTCTCTCAAGAAACGCATCAACTTATTATCACTTTCTTGAATGAAGCCGACCAAACCAGATGCGCATATGAGACTAAAACTTCTCCATCTTCTGCGCTTTGAGTATTTTTCGACCCCTTTGTAAATAGCTACCGTTTCTTTATCATGAACACCTTCATCTGCTGAAATCTTGTTGAATGATTCTGCAATGCATCTAGCAAGGATGACGCCGTCTTCTAAAGCTGAACATCCACCTTGACCAATATCCGGTGTCATGGGATGTAAAGCGTCGCCAGCTACACAAACGTTCCCTTTTGCAAAATCCTTCAACAAGATATCCCAAGGCGATCTCATTTTCAAATCAGCAAAAGAGATCATATCAAGGTTGGTTCTTTCTGCAATGTCAGTTACTTCATTTGGAGCATTTGCAATCTTGTTTAGCACGAATTCTTTCAATTTAGCTGAACTACTCGCAAAATCTCCGTGCCCTGCAAGTATTTTCAACATAACAAGCACAATCATGAATCTAATCTGGAACCAAAAAAAAGCAGCAAACTGAGGCACTGGTAGGATTATTTGTTCTTTTCTTTTATGCAGGAGATTTGCTTACAATTTGAAGTGGATGGTTTGAAAGTGCAAAACCAGTATATGCTCTTGTCATCACATGGAACAAAACCAAAGCGCATACCACCACCAAAATAGTAATGAGATTCAGGCTTAAAGTCATGAGCATTGGAATACTCAACAAATCCCCTGATTGATAATCTCCCAACACTAACAGGACTTGGGAGGCCTAACCATTTTCCAACAATTGAGTTGACTCCATCACAGCCGATTAAGACCTTTGCCCGAATAACACATCCATCTGCTAAGTGAAGCACCTTAAAATGCCCAGATTCCTCAATGTTAACAACCTTGGATGAATACCTAACAGTCCCTTGTGGCAGCTCCTTTGCTAAAGTTTCCAGAAGGTCTCTCCTCTTGATGCGACGAGATTCATTATTATTTGCACTGATTCAACAAAATTATAGGTATAAGGAGGTAGTAAAAGTAATAAATAGCAAATACATCAATGCCATGAAGCACTAGTCTCGACGTATGAAATCATATGCTGCCATCGCCTTCAATAAAAAAAAAAAGTAACAGGCCATACCTCTTCATCTACATCAGAAGACTTAAAGAGGACTTATCGATTCATTTATCAGATTGTACTACGTTGAGATGATGATGATGCGTCATTATTTGTCAGCACTGATCACATCGAAATGATGACGATTTCTTGTTGAATTGTTGATGAAAAGGAAAAAGGATGCCTTAATCCTAATGTCTCTATACATAACTATTGTCCGTTCTCAAAATTCAGCATAGATAAAAGCTAACATGCTCGTTCCGAATAACTGGTGTTCATTTCTACTATAACATTTTTCAAACAACAAATTAGCAAATTCTGTGAACAAAAGAAACTCACAATTTGGGATCTTCAAGTGAAATATCAGCAGTGGTCTCCCCTGTCTCCAGAGAAACAGTTCGCAAACTACATAAATCACAAAATGGTTTTAATAAGGATGAAAATGAAACAAATTTTACTGGAACGGAAGGATTGAGGTTCAGGTGGGGTCATCAAATCGTCACCATCGAAGCAGTAAGGAACGCTGTCTGAGGGCATCTCCAACATTTAGGGCGTCCAGAGCCCTCCAAGCGTTGCTCCAAATAGTAAGAGCAAATCCAGTAATTCTCAAACTCTCCGACGATTCCAACACTAAGCTCCTCAATCCCAACCTAAACAAAAGCCATAATTATACAAACATATTCGATCATCAAATCAAAGAAGGCGCTTGAGAATAGAAGACAAGGCTGAATTCTGGAATTTTGGGCATGAAGGAAATCGAACCTGTGTAGTCCTAAAGAAGCAGAAAGGCCAGCAATCCCAGCTCCAACTATCACTATATCTTCCTCCACTGGCTCCATGGTTATGACAAATTGTTCGAAATCAGAGACACAAACTGAAAATTGTGTGTTTCTTCAATTAATACAATAACTAGATGTTTGGCCTAGGCAGATGCTCAGGCGCCCCTTCTAAATTACTATTTTGTTAAAATCTAATTGAATTACTATTTTTTGAGAAATTAATTTGGCGTATATATCATTTATGCTATGGTTTAGGGCTTAAAAAAATATACCTATAAATCTGAGGTTATAAGGGAATAATAAATAATTAGTTTATAAGGCATTATTCTTAATTACTGGATTTAAGTTTTTTTATTTTTTATTTATATTAAGCCTGCAAAACTGTACGGTTGGACATTTGAATTTGAATTAATATATCCATTCGTTTGAAATGTAACTGATTCTTATTTGTAGAATTTTTTCATTGGATAAGTGTCACATCTAAAACATGTGTTTTTTTTTAAAAAAAGAATTATATAGTTCTAATTAAAAGAGACTTACACGTGGCAAAAAGACTCCTGAAATCTGAAATATGGTGCATTGGAGCCAAAACAGATGCATACGTAGTTGCCACATAAGCTTCATGTCTTCTGCTTCAATTGGGTAAAAGGGATACTACTTACTGTATGTATGTAATTATACATAAAGATAATATAGACTATATTGTCTCCTAATAGTCTCTCTAATCCCGAAATTATTGGACAATAAAATGAAAATCTAAATTCAACAATAATTTCGGAATGGTACGAGTATTAATTACTAGATCAAATCAAATCAACACCTAATCTAAATAGATCATATCCAATATCGAAATATTTCAACATAAATGACCAAATCACCTTTAGTAACAACATACAGTACTTAGAAAGTTAAAAAGACTACTTGTTGCATATCCTATACATATATATATATATATATATATCCTTTTACTCTATTAAAGCAGAATACAGGATGTTGATGTGGCAACTTTTTATTAAAAATTTTTGGCTCCAAATACACTATATTGCATTAACCATTCTGGCACGTGTCATCCATTTTTAAAAGAAAACAAAATTCTTATCCGGAGAAATAAAGTTACTTTACAAAAATAACTACACAATTTTAACTGCTAACATTTATCATTTATCAATCAAATTAAAATAGCATTTAAATTTGCCCATAAATGTATCCCCTTTATTACTCCACATTTTTTGTATGATTTCTGAATCGTTGTACTTTTCAATATTTTTTCTCCTTTGGCAGATGATTTTTTTTTTATTTTTATTTTTGGCTAAAAAGGGGAAAAAACCAAATGTGTAGCTATTTTATTTTTTCAAATAAAGATTTCATTTATCTATTAATACAAAATTAAAGTAGAGGGGCGCCCGGGCATCTAGTATATGTTTAAAGGAAAAGGAGATGAGGTGATGACGTGTCTTTCACTTACCCATAAATTGATTTTACTGACACGTGTCATTTAGGTATTTGTCATTCATTAAACAGTAATAATATATTAGTACAATTGTTACTTTATAAATTTACCGTGTATGGAGTTATATTTTCATTAGTTGGTTTTTTAAGTTGTCAGGAACTTAGGATAGATTTTATCTGCTACATATCACATAAAAGGTAATTGAAAGTTACTTTTTTTTTCCTTGAAGGAAAAAAAATTAATGCGCTATGATAGCGATTTACTTTCATTTTTTTCAGTCATCCTAAATTTTTTGTCTCGAAAAAAAAAAAAAAAACAACCATTCCATTTTTTTGCAGGTTTACTTTCAATCTCATCCAATTCTTGAAATTCCATCATTAATTTTCCCCCAATATATATATATATATATATATATATATATATATATATTCCCTTTTATTATACAGATCTGGGATTGCATTTTTTTTTCTTGCATGATTGTCTGCATGCATTTATCTTTGGTTTTCTGATTTGTTATTGACACTGAAAAGATTTGTGCTTTTTGATTAAAAAGGGTGAGACTTGAGCTGTGTTTATCGGCCAGAAAATAGGGACTGTTTTGACAGATCTGTTTCATCTGAGACTCATTGTTCATGAATTTTAATTATTTTTTTCTTTCAATGAAAATGGTAGAACATGAACAGAATGTAACGCAGATTGAAACCCGCCAATGGACCGAGTAATTATAGAGGTGAAGGTACTATAAACTCAGTACAACCCAGATGAAGTACGCCACGATTCACGATAAGCATTTAAAGCGTGTGATGGCCAAATACACCCTCAAATCTTATAATTCCTTTTATTGTTCATGAATTATTGTATAAATAATTTAAATAAAAATATTTTAAAAATATCTTTGATTTTATCTGCACCGTGTTTGAAACTCAGTTTACCCTTATTTTCCCCATTAAACAACCCGATATGATCTCTCCTTAAATTTACTAAAGTAGTTCGACAAACATGACTCATATATTTTATAATGGGCGAAGTGTATTACTAAATGTAATCTATATCAAAATGTACGTGCTTTGTTGGCCAAAATAATAAACCGGAGGCTTTAGGGTTTATTTCAGTCGTAATTAATAGCATGTTTGGAAGTTGAAACCAAGCAAATCACTGCTAATATAAAATTACAAGGAGTTAAAAGATGTAATCGCAAACACGTAGCCACGTAGGTGAACACAAGGTAGTTTCGAGCTACCAATTGTGTCTACTTAATGGATTGATTAATAAAAGAAAACAATCGATAAAACTATTTATGTACAGTTTGGTCTCAAGTAGGCTCGGTAACTTATATGTTCAGTCCATTTGGAAAAAAAAAATCTCGGTACATTTAATTCACAAAAAAGTAGGGAATTTCTTAAGAAAATAAAAAGAATAAGATATATAGATACTGTTAGTTTCTAAAATATTTAAAAAAGTTGGGAATTTCTCAGGGCTTTCTCACTATTGTTCTTTAAGATTAATTATTTTTGAATTTCAATTTCATTTAAATCAAACAATATTTCAGTTCATACATAATTATATTTAACCTCTACAGTTAGTTATTTTGGGTTTGGAAACTGAAAATGAATTTGGCCATGGTTTTTTTTTTTAGTTTGATGGGCTGTCAAAATATTAAAATAACAACTAAAAACTATTGCATATTCTTATAATTATCAGAGATTTATAACCTTTTAAGTAGAATGATGCAGAGTGACATGCTGTTAAAAATAAAATTAAAGATGGAATTAGATTCACATGATCTTCTTCTTCTTCTTCTTCTTTTTCTTCTTCTTCTTCTTCTTCTTCTTCTTCTTTTAGTTCAACAGGCAGTCATAAATACTAAAATAGTAGCAAAAATCATTAAAGATTTTTAGCCTGCCTACCAAAAGAGCCGAAACCTTTTAAGGAGGTCGATACAGAGTCTCATGATGTTAAAGATGAAAATGAGACCCTCCAATTCTTCTTCTTCTTTTAACTTTTTTTCCCGCTCAACGGGCTACCAAAAATACTAAAATAGTATCTAAATTAAACCATTACATGTTTTTAACCTACTAAAGACTCATAACCTTTTTAAGCAGGACAATGCAGAGTAGCATATTGTTAAAAATAAAAATGAAGATGAAATGAGACCCGTCGATTCTTCTTTTTTTTCTTTCTGGTTCAACAGGTAGTCAAAATATTAAAACAGTAGCCAAAACTAGTGCATGTTTTTAATCTACCAAAGAGTTGGAACCTTTTGAGCAAGACGATATAGAGTTTCATGATGTTAAAGATGAAAATGGAATGAAACCCGCCGATTATTATTATTACTATAATTATCCCCGTGCATTGCATGGATTGTGTTACATGTATTGTGTAAAATTGTAAAATTTTGATCACATTTGAACCAAACATTATTGTGAAGTTTGTGTCGGGTTTGTGATATAATAATTCTTGTTCGTGTTTTGTTCTGTAAGTTACATAAATCTTTGTTCATGTTTCATATTCAAGATGTGTACATTTTGAAAGATAAAATATTTGTATGACTCATTTATAGTAAAATTTTTGAAGTAATAATCGATTCAATTGATAATAACTAGGTAATGAAAATTCATACATTTTTACAAATAAATTCAGCACACTGAAAATAAAAGTTTTCAAAAGGACAAAAGAAATGTAACAATATATAGTGTTTTATACAACATCTTTTTAGTAATTATTTTTTGTTAGATTTCCCTGAAAAATAGAACATTTTATACATACTTGATAGTTTTCATCCATTGAAATAAATATTATGATTTCTTCGTAAAAAAAATCCACCATAGTGAACGCTACTTAAAATTTGTGAAAAATCATTTTTAGCAACCAATAAAAAAACTAAAGATAATTAGCAATCGAAAAGATGGGTTTTTCATTATTAATTAAATAGATAGTCGAATATATAAGAAATGTAATAAAGATAGGTAAAAGGCATAGATGAAAATTAAATTGAAATAATCAATTTTTTTTAAAAAATTAACCCTTTAATAAAAGGGGGTCTTTGGTGTTAAAACGTGTCAAAAAAAGACTCTAAACTTGACATGTGGAAAAGAAGGCTCTAAACTATGTAATTGAGCGATACGTGTCAATTGAAAACTCTCTTTTAATATATAAATATAGATTATTATTATTATTTTATTTATTTTTTGGTTCAACTGGTTGTCAAAATACTAAAATAGCAGTCAAAAGTATTGCAGATTTTTCACTACCAAAGACTCAGAACCTTAAAAGCAGTACGATATAGAGTGACTTGCTGTTAAAAATGAAAATAAAGATGGAATGAGACCCAGAAAAAACGACTCTTTTTATTATTTTCTTTGGTATGTCAATAAAACTGAGACAATTTCTTTCTATATTATCTGTTTAATGTAACACTCAAATTTTTATTACACAATATTTTTTAACAAATAAATAAACATCACATTTACCGAATCACCATTTATTGTAATATCTAAATTTTTTTTCTGTAATTAACATGGACGAAATATTTTAAAAAATTAAGATCGAATCTCCGCCGTGCAACGCACGGGTATCACACTAGTGCTAGTCCTTAAAATAAGTGTTTGGTATCAAAAAATAGACGTGAACTATTTTATTGGGACAAAGATAATAATATGTTAGAACAAATTACTCAATGCATGCTTTTCTACCTGGTTGTAACTTTTGTCGTACAATTTGTAGTTACACAACTCCAATTTTTCTTGTGATGTGACAGCACCCTAGTAATAGAGCGACTTGTTGTTTGCCATAGATAACAGAACGCCGCCTCATTCCAAAAATAAATAAATAAGGAACGTGGATAGTGTTGGTAGAATTGTATTTTGTGGAAAGTATTGGATGAGGATGCAATCGCCGCCGCCAAGAGTATTTTGGTGGTTGAACCACGACATTATAAAGGTATCATATCCCCCACGTATTGTATCATCGTAGCAGGTCGCTACCAATGTATATATACCTTTTGCAGCAGGGGAAAAAAAAAAGAGTTGTATTTTGTGAATGCGTCATTGATGCTTTGGAGGTACTGTGTAATGTGTAATGATTGTATATTCAATACATTTTTCTAATTATGCGTTTTTACATTTCTATAACACATTACAAAAAAAAAAAAATTGATGTGTTGCAAGTCACATCAAAAAATAAAATAAAAAACACATTACAGAAAACCGGATCAAATATTGATTAGAAGATGTAGAGTTGCAAGTCACAGGTGTGTTGCATCAGAGTTTTCCACAATCGTATTCAGACATTTTGATCAAAGTAGAAATGGTATACTTAGACAAGAACTTTTCTCTCAAGAAGCGCACCAACTTATGATCACTTTCTTGAATGAAACCAACCAAACCAGCTGCAGATATCAGACTAAAACTTCTCCACTTCCTGCATTTCACGTAGTTGTTGACCCCTTCTTCAATGGCTGCAGCCATCTCTTCGTCATCGACGCCTTCATCTGAAATCTTCTTGAAAGATTCTGCAATGCACCTAGCAAAGATGACGCCGTCTTCCAACGCCGAACATCCACCTTGACCAACATCTGGTGTCATGGGATGAAGGGCGTCACCAGCCACACAGACGTTTCCTTTTGCAATATTCCTCAACAATATATGCCAAGGCAATCTCATTTTCAAATCAGCACAAGAGATGCAGTCAAGGTTGGTTTTTTCCACAATATCTGATACTTCATTTGGAACGCTAGCGATCTTGCCAAGGATAAATTCTTTCATTTCAGCTGGATTTTTCGCCTTATCTTTATGCCCTACCATTATTTTTCACACATCAAGCAAAATTATAAATCAATCAATCCCGAAGATGAGAAATCAGCAAATTTATTGAGAGTCATTGGTGATAGCGTTCTGTTCTTAATGGCATTGCACTAGGTAATGACAATTTACTGAGAAGGCAAGAGTTGCTTACAATTTGAAGTGGATGGACTGAGAGTGCAAAACCAGTAGATGCTTTTATCATCACAGGGAGCAAAACCAAAGCGAATGCCACCGCCAAAATAACCATGAAATTTTGGTTCAAAGTTATGAGCATCTGAATACTCAACATATCCCCTGATTGCTGATCTCCCAACACTAATAGGATGTGGGAGGCCTAACCATTTTCCAACAGTTGAGTTGACTCCATCGCAGCCGATTAAGACCTTAGTCTTGATAACACATCCATCTGCCAAGTGAACCAACTTAAAGTGTCCAGATTCCTCGATAGAAACAACCTTTGACGAAAACCTAATGGTCCCTTGTGGCAACTCCTTCGCCAAGGTCTCAAGTAGCTCTCTCCTCTTGATGCAACGAGATTCATACTTTCCACTGCCCACCCAAAGTCACTGATCTTAGCTATCAGGTTAGGAAAGTAAAAGTAATCATACAACAATCACAATGACATAGTTTGAGCCTTAATCCTATAGTACGCAGAATCAATTTCAATAAGCACTCCATGGTCTTCTATCAACACTCGACAACAATATATCATTGCGGGATGAGCACCACAATCATGAATAAAGATGAGTGAGATTAGTCATAGGTATTCACATTGATGGTAATTTCTAAATTGTGGCGTTGAAGAAAAAGGGTGCTTGATTACACCAAACACCCATAAAAATTCAACATGAGTGAAAAGCTAAAAACATCGAATCATATACATAATTAAAGGTACTGATTGTCCAGGTTTGGTAACAATGATTAGTGAAGAAAACTCACAACTTGTTTTGTTGCTCAAGTGAAATCTCAGCTGTAGGCAATCCCGTAGCAAGAGATCCAAGTTGAAATCTGCATCATCATCATCAAGTATTTTGATAAAAGTCCATCATTTGATTCTCCAACCGAAAGTATATCCAGTTAACATTCTAGGAGGAGGAATCAGATTATAAGGAAACAAAACCAAAATGATTTAAGATTTGTAGTCTCACCTTCGAATCTGTAAGGAACGCTGTCTAAGGGCATCACCAACACCCAGAGCATCCAGTGCCCTCCAAGCATTGCTCCAAACAGTAAGAGCAAATCCAGTGATTCTCAAACTCTCTGATGATTCCAACACTAAGCTCCTCAATCCCAACCTACATACACCAAAACCATATAAATTAATTATAGACCCAGGAATCATGATGATTCATTGTGCCTCTGAGATGAAAGACAAATGAAATACAATGAAAAAAAGTTGGCCATGATGAAGGAAATTGAACCTGTGAAGTCCTAAAGATGCAGAAAGACCAGCTAGTCCAGCTCCAACAATCACTATATCTTCCTCTACCATTTTTTATGATGTTTGGTTGATGCTATACGATATGAAAATGTCCATTGAATAGGAAACCAGGTAGGTATATATATATACTGTAGGACAAATTCTGTTTCCTAGCATCCTCCTTACAGCCCTCCATACGCTAAATTAGTAAATTTGACTAGTTGGCATAAGCAACAAAAGACTCCATATTTGAAGTCTTTTCTGAAAGACACCGGTCAAAGTACTTGGCTTCTTCCTAGAAGTTGACACTTGCGCAAATCTTATAGTTTAGGCATAATTGGAAACTTTTGTCCGATTATTTTATTTATTTGATTTTATTTTCCATATTGTAGGATGTCTCGGCTAAAGGGACTAATTCCTTTCACGAATTACAGCTTATATGCACTCCATAGCTCAAAGGATTTAACGTTGATCCATGCCTATGACAGTATTTGAATACACGACCCTTTATATATAAAAAAAAATTTGGCTATTGCACAAGTCTATTTAGAACTCTGCTTCTTCATTGAAAACTCGAATTCATAAATGTTGTATTGTTACAGAATACATATAAATGACTTGCGGTTTTTAATTTTGCAGATATCAGAATACATTAGCGTCAGAGTTTTCCACAGTCATAATTAGTCATTCTCATCATAGTTGCAAGTGTATACTTTGACAAGAACTTTTCTCTGAAGAAACGCACCAACTTATGATCACTTTCTTGAATGAAACCAACCAAACCAGCCACAGATATGAGACTAAAACTTCTCCATTTCCTGCATTTCGCGTATTTCTCGAGCCCTTCGTGAATGGCTTCCATTTCTTCATCAAAATCAGATCCTTCTTTCGAAATCCTCTTGAAAGATTCTGCAATGCACCTAGCGAGGATGATGCCATCTTCTAAAGCTGAACATCCGCCTTGACCAATATCTGGTGTCATAGGATGAAGGGCATCCCCAGCTACACAAACGTTTCCTTTTGCAATATCCCTCAACAATATATCCCAAGGCAATCTCATTTTCAGATCAGCACAAGAGATCAAGTCAAGCTTGGTTTCTTCCACAATTTCTAATACTTCATTTGGAACATTCGGGATCTTGCTTAGCACAAATTCTTTCATTTCAGCTGGATTTCTCGCCTTATCTTCATGCCCTACATTTATTTTCAACATAACAAGCACAACAATGCATGAATCCAATCACAAAAAAAGTCCCATACAGGAATGTTCACGTCTGATGTATACAGAAGTTGCTTACAATTTGGAGTTGATGGACTGAAAGTGCAAAACCAGTATAAGCTATGGTCATCACAGGGAGCAAAACCAAAGCGAATGCCACGGCCAAAATATCCATGGAATTTAGGCTTGAAGTTATGAGCATTCGCATACTCAACATATCCCCTGATTGCTGATCTCCCAACACTAATAGGAGTAGAAAGGCCTAACCATTTTCCAACAGTGGACTTGACTCCATCACAGCCGACTAAGACCTTAGTCCGAATAACACATCCATCTGCCAAATGAACCACCTTCAAATGTCCAGATTCCTCTATTGAAACCACCTTGGATGAAAACCTAATAGTCCCTTGTGGCAGCTCCTTTGCCAAGGTCTCCAGCAGCTCTCTCCTCTTGATGCAACGAGATTCATAATTTTCACTAGCCGATCACAAAGTCAAGGGTCTTAGCTATTGGAATTGTAAAAAGCAGCTAATCTTAAACAAATCAAAGGTTTGAAGAAGATACACCATATTAACAGTTGAACTTGGTTTACATGCTGTACTAACTTTCTTGAAGGGTTTTCAAAAAAAAAAAAAAAACCTTTCTTGAAGGAGTTTCTGCTATGGCGCTGAAATCAAACTACATTTACCTAGTCAAGAACATAAACCTGCTAGTATACCATTCAGCTAGCTACAATCTCATTATGCTACATATATGTCCAGACCACATAAAAATCTTCATGTCTGTAAATTTCCAAAATAGGGGGTATCTTATCTTACGAAAGAAACTCACAACTTGGGTTGTTCAAGTGAAAGCTCAGCTGTAGGCAGCCCTGTATCCAAAGAAGCAACTCGAAACCTGCATTATTACAGCCAACTGCTTTAAGATTATACTAGTTGGAAACAGATAAACCGAAATGAAATGATTAGGTCAGGTCAGATGAGTATGTCACCCTCGAATCTGAAATGAACGCTGTCTAAGGCCTTCTCCAACATTTAGGGCGTCCAGAGCCCTCCAAGCATTGGTCCAAACAGCAAGAGCAAATCCAGTTATCCTTAAACTCTCCGATGATTCCAATACTAAGCTCCTCAATCCCAACCTACACCAAAAGCATGATTATCAAACATCTGTATTCAGGAAACCAAATCCATTGCATATGGGAATAAAAGGGAAGGTGAAAATAACAAAAAAGGTTGAGCCTCACAAAGAAGTAAAACCTGTGAAGTCCTAAAGAAGCAGAAAGGCCAGCAATCCCAGCTCCAACTATCACAATGTCTTCATCCACTGGCTCCATTATTGTGTCTGGTGATAGATGATAACAACCTTAATAACAAGTACCCCAATTTATTAGTCTTATAGTTCTTTAAATATAAAAACAGATATAATGTCCGACAAATTATTCCATGGATGCCTCTTCATCTGTAGGTTTTGTCCTTACATTACAGATACAACCTTCTTCTGCTATACTTAATTTTAAATTTCAATCATACCCTTTCAATTTTAATATATATATTGGATGACTTGGTGACATCACCGAGTACGTTAGCTGACATGCACATCCTGCCAAAACCGCAAAGACTATCTTTTGAAGTCTTTTCAGGACGGCACATTTCATCGTTTGGTATTTCAGTTGTATTCTGCATCTTCATTAGGCTTCATCTGAAATTTAGTCAAAATTTCTCGGATCTCTTACATTAACAACTTAGACAAAATAATATAATTAAAAAAAAAATAATGGGTCTCTTCCCTAAACATAGATGAAATAATTGAATGAAATGTGATTGTTTCAAAAATTTGGTCGCAGTTACTAATTTCTGGCAACTAATTTGTTTCTTCTTTTTTTTCCTGGTTTGCAATGATACAGAATTTGTAAGAAGAAACAGTAACATTTTATTGTGATGAATTGAAAAGTACACAAAGTAAGCTGTTAATTGAGAAATAGAAGACTGGTTTGGCACCTGTTCGATCATCAATTGCAGAAATGATCATTTAGAACTCTGCATCTGAGCAGAATAATAGCTAACTATTACAGAAGTGTTGCACGTAACCAGAGATTTGCAGTTATCAGAAGGAATGGGTCCATCAGAGTTTTCCGCAATCGTACTCAGACATTTTGATCACAGTAGCAATAGAATACTTGGACAAGAACTTTTCTCTCAAGAAGCTCACCAACTTATTATCACTTTCTTGAATGAAACCAACCAACCTGGCTGCAGATATGAGACTAAAACTTCTCCATTTCCTGTACTTCGCGTATTTCTGAACCCCTTCTTCAATGATTGCGGCCATTTCTCTATCATCAACGCTTTCATTTGAAATCTTCTTGAAAGATTCTGCAATGCACCTAGCAAAGATGACGCCGTCTTCCAATGCCGAACATCCACCTTGACCAAGATCCGGTGTCATGGGATGAAGGGCGTCACCAGCTACGCACAAGTTTCGTTTTGCAATATCCCTCAACAAGATATCCCAAGGCAATCTCATTTTCAGATCAGCACAAGAGATCAAATCAAGGTTGGTTTTTGCCACAATGTCGGATACTTCATTTGAAATGTTTGCGAGCTTGCCTAGGACAAATTCTTTCATCTGAGTTGGACTTCTCGCCTTATCTACATGCCCTGTGAGTATTTTGAACATAACAAGCACAACAATGTATGAGTTAAATCAGGAAAAGGAGAAAGTAGTAAGCGGAATGAAAGTTCTGATAAGATTGTTTCTGTTCTTTTCTTCGGAAGATTTGCTTACAATTTGAAGTTGATGGACTGAGAGTGCAAAACCAGTATATACTTTTGGCATCACAAGGAAGAAAACCAAAGCGAATGCCACCACCAAAATAACCATGAAATTTAGGCTCAAAATTATGAGCATCTAGATACTCAACATATCCTCTGATTGCTGATCTCCCAACACTAACAGGAGCTGAAAGGCCTAACCATTTTCCGACAGTTGAGTTCACTCCATCGCAGCCGATTAAGACCTTAGTCCGAATGACACATCCATCTGCCAAATGAACCACCTTAAAATGTCCAGATTCCTCGATTGAAACCACCTTGGATGAATACCTAATAGTCCCTTGTGGCAGCTCCTTTGCCAAGGTTTCTAGCAAGTCTCTCCTCTTGATGCAACGAGATTCATAATTTCCACTGGCAATCAGGAGCATTGGTCTTAGTTAAGTTTAAGAGTAAAATAATCATAAAAAAACGAGATTCATAAGCCTTTAATCTCAATCAGAGGCATTGCCTCTCCATTTTCTATATCTAAAGTATTTAGTCGGATGATTTCGTAGTTATTGTGAGATGCGAACAACATTCACGAATGAATACTTTGTCAAGATGAAATCAGTCATTGGAAATCTCATTGCTGGTTATTTCTTCAATGAATTGTTGTGATAAAAGATCCTAATTCACTGCAAAGCATAATTGACTGCTCCCTGTTTTTTTCAGCATACGCAAAATTCAACAGGAATACTTGATTCAAAACAGATAATTTGTTCAGGTTCATTAGTTGCTTTCATGCCTATGAAATTTCCAACATAGAACAGCATTCTTAGGAAGAACAAAAACTCACAACTTGTGTTTTTCAAGTGAAAGTTCAGCAGCAGGCTCCCCCGTATCAAGAGAACTAAGTTGAAATCTGCAGCAAAATCATGTATTCGATTTAGTTTATCAATTCATTGCCCAAAGCAGCAAATTGGTGGTCTTCTACTAAGAAACAGGAAGCAAACAGACCAACACTCCCTTCGGGTCTAGTTATAAGCCTTAAAATTTGTGCCTCATAAGTAGGATCAGATGAAGTAAACAAGTAACTAATGAACCTGCTTTATGTCAGGTAGTGTGTCACCTTCGAAGCTGCACGGAACGCTGCCTAAGGCCATCTCCCACATTCAAGGCGTCCAGTGCCTTCCAAGCGTTGGTCCAAACAGTAAGCGCAAATCCAGTTATCCTCAAACTCTCCGATGATTCCAACACTAAGCTCCTCAATCCCAATCTACAACAGCCATAAGTGTACATCACATTCTCTTCTACAAGGGGGAATCAGTTGACAAAAAGTTAGCCAGGAAATTACAGAAGAAAAAAAAAACCTGTGAAGTCCCAATGAAGCAGAAAGGCCAGCAATACCAGCTCCAACTATCACTATATCTTCCTCCATTATTTAGCTCGGTTTCACAATATGACTATTTCCTATAAACACACATTCGGATCGTGAATTCGTGTTTGCTCGTCCTTTAAATATCAAAGCAAAAGCAGGCATACTGTTGGACAAAATATGCTGTCCACGCTTTTTCTTCTGCTCTTTTTTCCTTTACTCCACACATAACGGATACACCTTTCGTTTCTATCATTATTACACGACCTTATGACTCGGTGACATAAGCAAGTACGCCACTGAGAAGGTCAGGCCAAAAGACTCCTACGTTAGTCTATTGTGGACAACTTAAACGATAGGATCAATCAGTGCAAGTAAAATTGTATTTGACAAGTGTAACTTTCTCCCACTGACAAATGAGGAGAAAATTTCACTTAGAATACTGAAGTTCCTTGAGGAGTTATACGACACTTAAAGGCTAAAACGAAGTGAACGGGAAGCCCAGCCATTATTAATCTAATAAGAAAAACATCAATTATTCAACATCGTCAAAAAAAGACCTTTCCTCACAAATTAAAGAATGTGCTGCTCACTAATCAAATTTAAAAAACTCCGTCAAAGCACACCTAATCTGATGGCTACAAGAGTAAAGAAGAAAACAAAAAGGCTTTACCGCTTTAACAGCAGTCACAAACTTTTCTAAAATTAGACTACAATTACATATATGAAGTGTCCTCCTAAAGTTAAAACACTAGAAAAATTGAATTCCAAACAGCAAACATAAGCGATGGAGCAGGCATCCATTAATTGCAGACCACGTAATCTTCACAATGCATGCTAATTTTGAACGGCCGCATGGATCTGACCATTGGATCTGAATCCACGTCCCCTACCACGAGTTCCCCTCCCACGGCCACGTCCTACCAATAAGACAAATAGAAGTAACCAGTATCATACTGCTGTCGTCAAATGGTAACAAGTTCTGTACCATCAATCTCACCAACAAGGATATTTCACAAACTTGTTCTACAAAGACATCCTATTTCAAGTGATCACACAGAAAAATAAACAAAGACAGAAAGACAGTACCTCGGCCGCCCTGAAAGGGTGGTTCTTGGTTGTAACCTCCAGCATCTTCCTGGTTATCGACATGGGGTCCATTGTAACCTCCCCTTCCACGGCCGCGAAAGTTGCGCCCTCTGCCACGACCCCTACCCCTTCCATAGCCACGGTTATTTTCCCAGCCTCCATCTTCATACTCACCACCAGCGTAACCATTCCCTAAAATCAGCCTTGGTTTATAAGTCACAACTTACAACACACCACCATTCTGCTTTTGGAAAGACATAACACTCGTATTCTCTCAATTCATAGAGGCATATATAACCAATACAAACTGCCAAAAAAAGAGTAAATAAACACACAAGAGTAAACCCTAACACGATTGCCTACCAGATGCACCTCTGAATCTTCCTCTCCCGCGCCCCCCGCGACCCCTTCCTCTACCATTAGGTGAGCCCTCTGCAACAGCAAATATTGGAAATTAAATACAAGGTATTCCAAACAAGTAAATAGAAGCAAAACTTCAGAATATGAAGATACCTCCATCGTAGTCTATCTCTGCAGAAACTTTAACTTGGTCTGCAGGTATGGGTGGCTGGTAACTACAGACAAATGTATGAAATATATAAGTTCTCAACAAAACATTTGATAGAAACAAAGCCAATTATAGCATTAATACAATTTAAAGCAACAAGTTCTTCAAGGAGAAAAGAATTTCCCCCACCAGTTATTAAAAGGTAAAGTTAAACCACATAAATCCCCAACTTCAACAATAAAAGAGATTAATTTACCCAAGTGCTGATGTGTCCAATTCCTTCTTTGAGAGAGTAATCGTAATCATGGAAACATGCCTTGTTGTCTGCAGACTGCCAAAACCGTGAAAATAACTCCCATCAATACAAGTTGTTCAATATCAGAAGAAAGGCAAAATTGGTCAATTTGACTTTTGAGGTAAAATCCATTTAGTCCCTTTCTAACTCACACGTCTAGCCCATCATCAGTTGGGGTTCAGAGTCATACAACTAGCAGCAAATTGAACATACGTGCAGCATGCAACTTTCATTGAAGGAGCAAACTTGGGGTAATCTAATTTGAAACTCATTAACCTTCTTGACCCCCGGCGTCCCCCAACTCATAGTTAAATTTGTTTCCCAAAAGAACTGGTACACATTAAGTACTCAAAAGCAAACAAATAATGCAGCAAAAGAATATCGAAGTCTTGAAAGCATTGAGTTCCAGATTGACAATTTTTTAACATAGAGCACAAATTAAATCTTCAGTTCCCTGTTAGCTGGATAGGCGTGCTTAATAAGGAACCAAGAGTGCCAGACCAAGAAAATAGGGCATCATAAGCAATTGCCCTAAAGTATTAGATCTTTCCCCTTTTTATATTTAAGCAAAAAACTAAAACCTAAAATTCAGTAGTTCAGGAGTACTCTTACGGAAGAAGGCCTTCCTCTAAAGGCTCCCAGGTATCATTTATATCAGTGGATGTAATTGAAGTGATTTGGTGAAGGCCCACAATCCTCCTCTGCATAGTGACAATACCAGAGATTAATGTTACAAGGGTAGAGAAAACACTCAAGTTACAAGGTGAAGAAAACACTGAGAAAGAATAAAACCTTGATCAACTCCACAATTGTCACAGTCTTGTTGATGGCTCTACCCATTGCCTTGAAAACAACTTCCTCTGATCCTTTCTCCTACAAGGTATTGCATGGATAACATGTAAAAACAATGACATAGACATACAAAAACAGGCCAATATACAAAAAATTGCTTTCAGAAGATGATCTACAAGAGATGGAAGCAAAAAAAAAAAAATTCAAGCCACGCCAGCAATAAGCAATTTCGAAGGAGACAATCTGATTTTAAAACATCAATACCAGCAGGCACACAGAAAAAGTGAATAGATAATACAAAACGGACTCACATCCATAACTCTATGATTGAATAGTGAGGAAAAACAACCCAACAAAATCATGAAGAGTAAAACGCACAACAACAAAAGAGACAGATAGAATCCAACAATACTAGTAACACACCCATTAGCAAACTAAAACCAGAAACTAACAGAAAGACAAATTACATTACAGCACAAACTCAGAACTTCACTCAACCATATACAGTGGCAGCACGGTTCAAATATTATCAAAAGACAATTCCAAAACATGATTGGAGTAAACAAGCATGTTTTGTCCAATGTACATTCCTAACCCCCAACAGGGGAATCACTTTTAAGTTAAATATCAACAGATAAAGGGGTTCCCCTAGTCAAAACAACAATGAACTAGCATTCCTAAACTACAACAAGCATGAAGTAAACAGCACGCAATCAAACATCTGAAATATAAACTGATAAACTAATCTCTTCCTCCCACACCACACCAAAAAAAAAAAAAGGTAATAACCTGAAGCAGACTCATGGCATAAGTGATGTAGCTTCGCATCCTTCCCTGGCTTGTAATCCGAATCTCGTTCTCATCAATTGGAGTCTCGGCCTTTGGCTTCTCAACCTTTCTGTAACGATCCATGTCTACAAAATACGCAACCAGATTATTTACCAAATAATTCCAAAGCACCCAAATATCTTAACTACAACTCTTTTCCCCTAGAACACAGAGTACTTAGTAGTAACGACACTAATCCACAGAACAAACATACGAGAAATCTCAAACGAAAAATAATTATCTTAAACAAGAAAAACACAAACAATTGACGGAAGTACGACATGAAACAGATGACGAATCTAACAGATAAGGTATAATAATAATAATAATCATGAAAAGATCTAATAATAATATTAAAAAAACAAAGATGAAATCAAAAAGCGAAACCTCACCTTCTAGCGATTGGATTTGGGAGGTTTGGGGGGGAAAAAGTGGTAAAACAGAGATTAATCTATGAAAGTTTGTGCTCCACGAACGAAGAGCCCTCTTCTCCGGCTTCGTTTCTGCGTTTAGCCCTGACCGCTTCACTGTGGGATTTTTGAGGTATTTATAGTCCGGGTTTTTGCCGCTGCCCTAATTTTTCCCCAACTCTTCTTTTGTTGAACCCAAAACCGGTCGAATCGAACCCGTGCGATTACGCTTCCAACTCTTTTTTTACTTATTGCTTAATTTTATTATTATTTTTTTTTTTTTTGGGTCAACTGCTGGAAGTTGTACTTCGCTTCTTTTTCGTACAAATTACTTTTAATTTGGGAGTACTGACCAAAATCGTGATTGAATTTTATTTAATTATTAAAAAAATTTGCTTTTTAACTTGTTTTAGAAATTCCATCGGTGATATTTTATTTAATCCTGTCATGGATAATCAATTTTTGTCTGCCACAAAATATTTAAGTCAAATTGTTAATTTTAATTAATTTATTGAAATAATACAATCACTGTTACAGTCCCAATAAGTTGAGCAACAGGGACAGTCACTAGGAAAAACTATTGTGATAAATAAGAAATTTCATATAATCCATAATTAATGGGATGATTTTATTTTTATGTTTTAGTTTAGCCATCATAATAATGTTTCCAAAAGTTCAAAAATAGAATTTAATGTATTTGAACCAAAGATGTTGCAAAACGTCACTCATTTTAAAGATTCATAACTTAATTGATACCATAAGATGTGACAAATAGGAAAAGCATAAAGGATTGGAGAGGGTTGGATGTGACATAAAGAGCTGCGGTAGTAAATATTACATGATCATCATCATGGTTTAAACTTTGATAGGATATTTTTTATTTTTATAAACACAAAAAGGTGAATATATCTATAGTATCAGCATTATTATTTTTCATTTATATTTTTCTGTGTCCAGGAGTGGATAAAGCGGACAAAACTTTTCAATATTTGCTCCACAAAATTATTGATATTTGAGTACGTTTTTTTTTTTTCTTTTTCAAAACTTGGGATATTTTGATGTTTGGATAATACACAGATTGGCTGGGACAAGATGAGGTTTTGGTATTAGGACAATAGCACCATCCCAAAAAATGGACAGCAGATTGTCTTTTCGAGTTCTATCATTGAAATCTTTATTTTAGTTTCATTTTTATTCATCCCATTTTTTCTTCGTTCTAAAATAATTACACTGTTTAATGTTGATATTTAATTGATTGATGTTTATTCCAATCAACGATTGTAATTGTGTAATGGAAGAACAGACTAGTTAGCTCCTTTATTTGCAGTGTTACATAATACATTTTTTTTAACATGTTCTCAAATTCGTGTTTTTTTGAGCACTGTAAGATACCAAAAAAAAAAAACCGGAAATGAAAAAGGCTGGATTGCTGATTGCATTCGTATCTACTAAAACAAAATGCAATAGATATATTAAGTCGTCAATCAACCTTTGTCGTGCAGACATGTTATGTATAAATTTCCCTATTTTCTGAAGTCTATCAGAAAACGCATTTTTTAATGGCAAAATATAAAGAAATGATTGACATTTTCTGAAATTTCTTTTTATTGGAAGTCCGTCCACTCTCTTTATGAATTTGGAAATGTCAATCAAATAAATTATTATTTCTGTTCTGAAATTATAACTAATTAATTTATTATTTTTTTAATATAAATTATATTAAAAATAAAAACTTAAAAACTGGACGATAATTTTGAGATATCAAAAGAATTTTCGCTAACATATAACTAGAAATCAATTGAAAACGACGATAACTTGTTGTCAATCGATGATGAAAGAGGAAGATTGAAACATGCAGAATGCCACATGCCAAGCAAACCGACTTATCATGAACCTAACAGCTGCCAAGTGGATTGCATAGACTTAAAAATTTTCGACAATCATCTCATGCTAATAATTCGTCTCAAAATGAGTATCTGATTCTGACTTGTATAACTAAATAGTGCAAAAATTGAGATAACTCAAACTCCGAAATAAATTAGTTTCAGTAAGAGTTTGATGGACGATTTTGTTCGTAGTTGAATTCAGTAATCGATCGTCACGCGTACACTATAATTAAGCCCTCCATGTCGAAATAATTATTCAGTTTAGATTTTTATTTCAGTACAAATTAAAATATAAGTAAATCTAAACTGAACAATGATTTTGAAACGGAAGAAGTACATAAATGCATCAAAAGAAATGGACATGAGCTCCACCAGGCATGTCCATGGACTGGGAAAGCAGTGGATCGATGATTTTGCGCCAGCCATTGAAGTCAAGAGGCGAACCAGCATCAGGCAATGGGAATCCATTCACGAAGAAATAGGGCGTTCCAAACACTCCTCTTAAGCATCCATACTTGAAGGCAATTCGGGTGGCCTGATCAGTCTTGGTGTCCTTGAAACCTTGTTCAATAGCTGATTCGTAGGAGCTCCCCACGGTTTGAGCCGCAAGCTTCACAACGTTGTTCACTACCGTTGGTCTGGTTAAGTTGGCCGTTGCTCTCCCGTAAAACTTCTCCTACGTGCCTCAATACCATTATATCAACGGACTAGCTATAGCGTACGGGGCTAGATTCAGTTTTCTAATTATTTATTACTCCTTTCGATCCTTATTATACGAATTCTTATTTTTTCATTTATTATTATTTTTTTAATTAAAGATGAAATTTTAAAATTGCTTTACAAAAACCGAGAGAACACAGTAAATGTTGAAAACGTATCTTTTAATATTTTATTTTTATTTACAACAACTCAATAAATAAAATTTATGAGAAGTTAAAATATCTTATAATAAAGATTAGACGAAGTATCTTCTTAAAATGATTTTAGTGATAAATATCTTATCTGTCTGATTTTAATAATTAATTTTAACAAACTAGACTACTATAAAATTATAAACAGAAATAGTAGTAAAAAAAAATAGTAGAAAGCTAAAGAGTATGTATCGAAAGAGTAATGATATGTACAAGGAAAAAAGGAAAATTTACAAGGAATGATGTGTCAAATATCTAAACTAGACCTAACGTTAAATGCTTACATTTGATATGGAAAGTTTTTAAAATGGATAGATAAGATCATTTCCTTGTAATTTTTTCATGTAATTTTTCCTTGTACCTATCATTATTCGTATTGAAAGCCATATATAGATCACCTGCTGGTCAAAGAAGGACTCCAAGAGTGGGTACGTTGCGGAAGAATTCAATCTGTAAACAATATGCAACGCCCGGGAACACACAAATGCATTGTCGTGATAACTGCAATTAATGAATTAATCCCCATAAAAATATGGTGTAGATTAACAGAATTACAATTGAATTTGCCCACCAATTTATTTTTTTCTTCTTAAGGAAATTTTTTTTTTTTTTGGGTGAAAAATGTAGATGAAGCACCCCTGTTGATGAAAATTAAATGGGGGAAGGGGAATTACGTACTATATACTTACGGCAAAGAGAAGGTATGAACAACAAGAGTAACGCGCGGACCGTAGTGATGAACAGCTTGCTTGAGAGGCTGCCACGCGTCCCTTGTGTCCGGACATACCGGATCGAAGAACGCCTCGATCACAACGGATTCCTTCTCCGTCACCGGACGCCGATTAAGGTACCAGAACCCGTCCATCTTGGCCGGAATTGAGACCTGAGCATTGATCATCTCAACGTAACAAGCATTCCATACCAAGAAGCCAATGATTAACAGAATCAGAGGCTTCGTAATCAGCATTTGATCCATCATACATTGCTGCTGCATGTTTTTTTTTTAGTAAAGCTCTAAATTGACTGTTCTTTTTTTGTTAATTTATTTGTAAAATTGAGTTTTGGAGTTGGATCTGCTTTGGAGTACAGTGGAGCTGGAGTGAAAATGGAGGAAGGTGGGGAGTGAAGAAATAGCCGAAAAGTAGTATGAAAGGTAAGCCGGGCTTAAACGTCAAGAAATGGAATGAGAATCAATTATGAGTGAATTATGTGGCAGAAAAAAAGGGGGCAAAATTCTAAAGCTTTGGGGGAATTTATGATGAATTGGATGCTTGTGGAAGATTTGCCATTTGAGCAACTTCTTTTATTGCACTCCACCGATTCTATATATGCTTTATAGCAATAATAATGGCAAAATTTGAATGGGTGGGATAATGCCGTCTACAGAGTAATAATTTAGTACTCCTTCCGTCTCAAAATTATTGTCTAGATTGAGTTTTCATTTATAATTTAAATTATATTAAAAATGAAATCTTAAACTGAACAATAATTTTAGAACAGAAAGAATATGTAGTAGTACATGACTTGATGACAACATTTGAAATTAACTTACGCAAATCGGTTCTCATCACCACTTCCGATGCCGGACGGTCTGCTGATTTTTTTGGATTTATGATGCCAATTTTGTCACGATGAAACTGGAATCTTCACACCATAGTTTATACTTCTGCAACAGAATCAGGGCCTTGTACTTACATTTTTTTTTTATCTACTTCCATTCCTTTTTTATAAGAGCCCAAAGGAGGTCAATAACTAATTCTACTCATACGAATAATGAAATTAACAAAATTTGATTATTTGTCTCAAAATTACTGCTAATTTCTCAAAGTATCCCAAATAATGTTAATGAAATAGTCGAATTAATATTTGAATTACTTAGTTGTGAGAGTAAAGAAAGGAAAAAAGTCATTGGATTTTTTAAAAATCTAAAATTTCCTTTAAACACAAGAATAAAATCATGTCTAATGCCCCTTATAAATAGGAATGGAGCTGGGTATTAAGAACTAAGAAGAGCTTTTTCTTCTATGAGATACTCTCCTCTTAAATCAATGACGTATTTACTCACGATTCATACTTTGGAAGGCCTTCCTTAATGTTTCTTTGAGGACTGAAGAAATAGCTGCGAATTACTCCCTTCGTTCCATAATTATTGTCCAGTTTGAATTTTCATTTTTAGTTCAAATTATACTAAAAGTGAAATATCAAAGTGGACAATAATTTTGGGACAGGGGGAGTGTAATAAAGAGTATGGCAGGCTTAAACATGAAGATATCAAATGACAATCAATCAATTACGAGTGCATTATGATTTCCCAGGCAGAATTCTACAACTGGGGAAGCTGATAATGAGTTGGATGCTTTTGTAAGATTTTTGCAAACTCTTATTCCACTCCACCGATTCTCTGTACATACACCAAGTTCAAACTCCAAATCGGAGATGTACTGTACGGAGTAATTATTTTGTGTGACTCCGTAGACGAAAATTAAGAATTTTAAGAACATAAATAAAAAAAGAAAAAGAAAAATGGGAATAAGATTTGAAAACTACATTGTGATTGACACAATTACAAACCAAAACATGTACCTATTTATAAGCATGTCTATACTACTAGATCAAAACTATTATTAATAATTATTAAATCAAACTAATCTTTATAATTACTAAATCATATTTATCACTCATAATAATTCTTTAATAAAAATTATTATTAAAGTAAATTCTCTCTCAACTACTATTGATAGTGATCTTTAACATCTGTCACCGAATTTGGGTGATCCAATTCAATGAACATGGTAGGAAACAAAATACTCCGTTTTTTATGATGAATTACGATCTAAATTTATAACTTGTAAGATTACATGGATAAAAGAAAGTTTAATACAAACAATTCCATTGATACAATGAAAATAGAGATACAAAGAAAAAAAAAACAAATAGTTTTGAGGACACCGATACAATGAGATCATGGTTCGTGTACCAAAATAACGTAAAAGCTCTCGAACATTAATCTCTTTTAAACTTTGGCGATTAATGGATCAAGCATATTTTGCCATCCCTTTAAGTCATTAGGAGTGTCGTCAAAATGCAGTGGGAATCCATTCACGAAGAAATAAGGTGTCCCAATTACTCCTCTTAATCTCTTATGCATCCATGTTGCATGTATAGATTCCAAATGAGGTCAGACTAATAATTAACACATGAGAGACCAATAAGAAAAATAAAATAAAAAAATGTTACAGCAAAAGCAGTGTTTAAGCTAATTAAGTAACCTTAATTAAATATCATCCCATAATGACACTTATTATGTTTCAAAATGTATATTAGTATGTATTTTGTTAGATGAAAATTTTGGTACTAAAATATATAAGGCACACTTTTGATACCTTGAAAGAAGTTCTAGTGTCACGAGCAGTTGTATCGTCGTTGAAACCTTGTTTAATGGCAGGATAGTACGAGATCCCAAATGTTTCAGCTGCAAGTTTGATAATGTTGTCCAGTACCGTTATTCTGGTTAAGTTGGTAGTAGCCGCCGTGTAATACTTCTCCTGTTCATCAACCCACTCAATCAAGTCAACTTCTTACAAATAATCCTTATTAATAATACTCCTTTTTTTTTTCCCGAAATAGTTGTCGCAGAAATCTAATAAAAGTTTCTTATACAATCATGAAAGCTCCAAATGTTTTTATACATTACAATCGATTAAACTATACAAGATACTTCAAAAAGAAGTGAAATTCTATTATTTTATGATTGTCAACTACAACATCAGTGATAGGGTATATGAAGCTATAAATTGCTAGAAGAACATGCCAAAACAGAAAACGAAGGGGAAAAAAAGAAAAGAAAGATTCACATCGATAAAACTACGAATATCATATTGTGGGTCATTATAAATGATTTTAATTTCTGAGTTGGATCTTCAAATGTTGAATGTATCTTTCAGCATTATGCAAGAGTAGGTTTACTAATCCTCAGAATCATAAGAACTCACCTGCTGCTCGAAAAATGACTCGAGTAAAGGGAATGTTGCAGTATCCTAGACATCATCCATGATGATGAGATACCTTTTACCCTTCAAATGTTTGCGTAAAAATGAAAATAAAAATAAAACTAAAATTTCATTCAAATTCTTCGACAACATTTACAGATTGAGAACGTCACTTTTAACCAGGTTGCCAGTAAATACTATTACAAAATTGCACTCCAAGCCCTTGTATTTTTTTCTAATTTTATTTCTACCCATCAGTTCATGAGATTCTGCAGCTCTCGGAAATTTATTCCTCCCAGTTGCTGGGCCATTATTTCTCGCTCGGAACTTTGAGCACAAAAATATATGGGCTAAATTTACATACGGGCTTACGTCAACTGGACATGTTTCAATAGAATTGGGTCCAAAATTCCTTAATTCCGAGCACCAATTCAAAAAGCCCAATTGGCTTTTCATTATAAAATTCTTCTTTCTCAACCTCTTTTCATTATTTTTGTTCCCATTGCTTTTATTTTTACAACGTTGTTGGAGCACAGCTCTTGAGCTAATCCAAAGTGCACACAATCTGAAGTGTGGTGGTTCCTATCTTATAGTATATAGGATATCATTTTTTACAAAAAAATTTCGACATGTACTAGTGTTTCTGAAAAAGGTATTTTTGGATTTAGGCCCACTAAGATGGCATTATAAGAAAAGAACAAATCATATCATTTCCCTTTCATTTCTCTTTTAAGTTTCTTCTTTAAAAAAAAAAAGTTTTAGTTGGTTTGATCCTACTTTTGATCATAGATCAGTATACCATAATTTAACCTATAGTGTGAAATATCTTGATACATATCAAATGTTGAGATCTAGATAATGTCCCTTTTACCTTTATTTCTTTCACAAATAAATATATTGTTATTACACCTTCTCCATCCCAAAAGTATGTAGTTGTGTGAGACTTTTTTCTTGGCGTAAAGAAGAAAACACATTAGCCATTTTAGTGCTTCTTTATCTTACTCTCTGTCTCATTATAAGAGATATACTTCACCAAGTAGTTTTTACCACCAAACACTATCAATTTTTTAAGTAGTGAAAAATAATTATCAAAAGAGAGGCATAATCTTAAATGTTGTTATAAAAATTGTATGAATCTTATTTTGATACGAAAAGTAATTGTAAAGGTCCCTTCAAGAATGATTAGCAATCTAGAGCGCTCCAACAACAACTGAAAAAATATCAAAGAAGTTGCGAATTGGGTCCAACTTACATTAATTAAGTTCTTTTTGCGTATTGCGTCTTTTGTTAGTGAAATCATCCCACTATGGTATTGATGATAAAAACCCAACTCTGAACTAGTTGGATGTTGACCCTGATAACATCCCTTCCCTTCCACCATTCATTCCAAAGTGTCAAATTCATAAATACCCTCACCCAAATTGCATCTATTTCCAGTAAAACTATGTGGTTTTGGAAAATACCACAAATTGAACTCTTAGTACTCCAAAGTAAGACCAGCATTTATGAAAAAGATGAGGTTTTCAGTGTTAAAAGGTGGCTTAGCTCGGACTATCCGAATGTGAGGAATGGATGGTGGATTTTAAATCATATACTCCATCTGGTTTTTAATATAAGCCGTTTTGATTTATCCTATGTTTCACTTAATACTCATTTTTCATTGACAAAATTTTTTTAAAAATATTTCATAACAATTAAGAGAACACAACGAATATAAAAATATATCTTTAAGGTTTTTTTGTCAACTAAAAATACGTACTAGGTAAAACTTATGAAAAATCAAAATGACTTATATTAAGGACCGAAGGGAGTACTTTTAGAGTCAGATGTTTTTTTTGCTCGCAAATTATTTGAATTTATGGACTAACACATAATATAATGAGAAATTCGTATATAGAGAATGTGATTATTTTTTGATATTTCAAAATTTAAACATTTGCCTCTTTCATAATACCTTACATTAGATGGGTGTCACGAGATCATCATAGTAAAGAAAAATAACATAAACCAAAGTTAGTTTAAATAAGTTTGGAAGACCATTTCATAAAAATTGGAGGACGATAGATGTAATTATCCCGATACCAGCATTTGCGTGTAAAGAGGCTGTCTCTATAAAAGCACAAACACATCACAAACTCAATTAGTTAGCCAAAAAAAAAAGAGAGAGAAGCTCACACCGAAGAAACACCCATCCTGACTTCATATGAAAACCGAATTAGCCCACAAAAGGATGACAAAACCAGTACAAAACTCATAACCAAAAATCCCGCAGTGCCAAAGCTAGCTGGGCCAAAAGGAAAAGCTTCCAAATGAAAGACGTTTCTCAGTAGCGGCAAAAGGTGAGCTACATAGATTATACAGATGATCATCCCCCAAGTAAAACCAAAAATTATTTCGTCCGTCTCAAAATAAATAACTTCGATTCCATCATTTTTTGCATACCAAATTTGTTACATGAGCCTCAATATTACGCTCTTGTATGTTGTTTAAAAAAAAAAAAGAGTAAGTCATTTTTATGGTGACGCAAATTACTAGTAGAGTTATTATTCCCCACACACACACACAGAGAGACAAAGGTCTTTAAATTTCCAAAGCGGTTTAGGTGCACACCAACTCAGCAGTACCAAGCAGTACACAAACACCACAAACTTCCACACGCAAATCGTAGAGACACAAAAGCACCAGAAAGTTGTTCGTCCCAATACACAAATAAATACAACCCCCCAAAGGCCAAAGAGGCCAAGATTGGCAAGATCCTTTAGTACTGTGTAAATTATTAGGAAGAGAATTGATGGTTCATTTGAAGTGTAGTACATCTTTCCTTCAGATTCAAGAAACGTGTCAGCATCTTCTAGCCCAAGTCCAAAAGAAAAACAGAGCAAAAACAAATTCTGTTTGGTTTATTTGCCTTCCCAATGAGTCCGTTTCTAACCTGATATTAATTCCGCGTCATTTCCCCCCTTTTCCTTCTTATTTCCCAATTCCCACCGCAAAATGAGCTCAGGAAACTAGAAAAGGGAACCGGAGATTCCATTTAGATTCCATTTTCCCACCCACCCCCCCCCCCTCCAAACCCAATCAATTGAACCAACCAAATTCATTTACTCGCACTTTTCCCAGTTTGATTCACCACCCCTCTATCTCCAACAGCTCAGAAAAGATTTTGCGTTTTAGCCCAGATGGCCAGGTACTTCATTATTTTTCTCTAATTAGCATTCATTCCTTAATTGTTGTCCTCTTAATTTCCAGTTCATCAATAGTGCTAAAATATCATCATCATTTGGACCCTCCAAAAAAAAAAAAAAAGAAGAGAAAAGTTACTACCATAAAGATCCCTAGTGCGTCTTTCCTAGACCACTTTTTGTTTGTTTTGAACCATAAAAAAAGAACCATGGTTTGCGTTTTCCTCCTCAGTCGCTCACTATATCAAGCACTTCAGCGCCGTCAGCAGCAGCCTCCTCCTTAAACCTTGGGCTCAACTTTTTTCTTTTGATAACCTCTGCTCCTTTTTTTTTTTATATATATATATATATTAATCTCAATTCTCAATCAAATCATTGCCACCATTTTTGGGTTTTTTTTTTTGTTTCTGACAACATTAAAGAATGTTGGTTTCGGTGTTTCTTGCTCTGTTCTTACCGTGCGCCGGAATGAGCGCGGTGTTCTTGGTGTACATATGCCTTCTATGGTACGCCGCCAGCACCAACGGCGGAGCGGCCAACGGCGGGGAGTTACAGTCGTCGTCTTTCCCGCCTGGGAAAGGTACTCAAGGAAAAGGGCTGTCTCCGTCGGATTTAGACAAGCTTCCGAAGGTGACCGGAAAAGAATTGGGTATGGGATCAGCGGAATGTTGCGCGGTTTGTTTGGATGAGATTGCCGGAGATGAACCGGCCCGGCTGATTCCGGGCTGCAATCACGGCTTCCATTTACAGTGCGCCGATACTTGGCTGTCGAAGCACTCTGTTTGCCCGGTTTGCCGGGCTAAGCTTTCGCCGGAGTTGTTCGACCCGCCTGAAAGTAATCCTTGTTGAAAAATGTTGGAAACTTTGAGAAGAGAGCCCAGATAGAGAGTCGTTTTGTTTTTCTCCTTTTTTTTCTCGGTTTATTAAATTTTAGTTGATTGGTCATTCGTTGTTTCGTTTTCGATTGAATGAATATATTGAGTTCTGCACATAATTATGTTTTTTTTTCTTTCCATGTCGTCTTGGTTTGCTTTCTTGGAATGACTAGTTTTGAGGAAATTCAATCTTTCAAGTATTTCAAAGGTGAAATTATCATATCATCACGTAAAATACTGCTAAATCGATTTCCCAGTCGGGATGTGGTTTCGTGATGGTGATCATCCTTGGCCTAATATAAACCATAAAAGAAATCAGTTGTCAAATTCAATTCTTTGTGATTGTATATTTTCGGTATGAAATCCTGTAAAATTGTGTTATTAGGACTTGTATTCATGAACCCTGTGGGCTGTACTTCTATTTTCTTGTTTGCTACAGGCCTACAATAATTAATGAAAGCAAATAGTATAACAAATCAGTAAATGTTACATCATATTAATGATTATGCAAATTTTGTCATCATAAATATGTGAACATGCCGTGGACATTAGGGAACTGAACCTGCACTGTACATTTTAGTCTTGCTCTTTAAATCTTCACTATAAACTACTTCTTTCATCTCAAAATTATTTTCTAATTTTGATTTTATGAAAAATAATTCCAAGACGGAAGAAGTATTATACATTATGAATGGACTGAACAATGAGAAAATTTCCTTACCGATATTAGTTAAATTTATACCAAAGGCATAAAAATGATATGGTCATTGTAGAATGATGAAAGACTGTAATGGCACGAGTCTTTGACTGAATAATTCCAATAACATATGATTAGAGTCATTGATTCTCCATTTTAATACGCGCAAAATTAATAAAACTTTTGTATAACTCTGTAAATTTACCATTCACAAATTACATTTACATGAAAATCATTGTAAACTATGTTTGATTTCAGTCCAAGACAGTAAAAAATTATAGTGATAAGTTATTCTTACCAAATCCTTAACGAAAGGTTGATCACATAGAATCTTGGATTGGTTTGCTGATGGAGCATTAGCCGAATTTACCCGGACTAATAAAATGTAACGGAAGACACTCGTCAAAATCTTACACCATAATCTTACACTACTTGTTATATCACTCACTAAAATTTTGATACATGATTTTAGAGGGTTAATTCAATGATAAGTTAGGGTATTAATAAAATATTGAAAAACAAAAAAATAATAATTTAATACAAAAATGTGATAAATTTTATATAGTAGTTTATGAAGTGAAGTTGAATTGTGGTGTAGGAGATTCAATGTGCCTTGAACATTTTTGTAATTAAGATTGGTAATATATTAGAGGGTTTTAATGATGATGGAGAAGAGCAATGATAATAAACGTGCAAATTGGAATACAGCATAAAGACTGTGAAAGAATGAATGAGCAGATTTGAAGTTGAATAATAATTGAATTTTGGAGGGTAATCAATGGTGGCTACTAAAAAGTAAGTAAAAAAGTAACCTGAAAGAAACATACAAACACACACACACACAGTGGAATTTGGATGAACGAGCAACTTCGACAATGAACGGTAGCTAATGAGTCTAATCTCTTTAAAAGTGACCTGAAACAACATAATAAGATAAAATAAAGAAAAACAATGGGTGGGATGTTCTTCCTCTTCTTCTTCCCCCCCTTTTCTGTCTTTGCTTTCATGACCAAAGATATTATATTTGCCATTTTCAATGGCATCCATCGTTTTGAAATATCTTTATTAATGTGAGATCATGTAATGGACTCCATCGGTTAATGGTTTGAATATTTATGTATAACTTTTCGTGTTATACATAATACCAAAGATTAATAATACATTTATCTTTACAAACGTCTCAATTAATCATCATTCATAGTACTTTAGAGTCAATTGGCCAGGGGAAAACTTGTCTCTCACGCTTTAGACTAATTAGCCATATAGCTAGCCCTTTAATCATGTGACGATGGTTTAGTGCTTGTTTGGACGTTATCTTACATTTCATTTTGCCACTTCAAAGTGGAAAGTATTTTAAGTTGAAAACTGAATGGGAAATGAAAAGTTGTTTGGATGGTATTTTGAGCAAAAAGTTGTTTGGATGTTGGTTTTGAAAAAAAAATATTTTGAACTACATTTTGAAAATATAAAGTACGAGTCATCAGTAACTTAAATACTATCAATTATAGTCACTGCAAAAAAGAACTTTTCCAAAAATAATCACTTAACAACGGAATCCTGCCAAATTTATCACTGAACTATTTGTAGTTCTAAAATGGTCATTACACTAACAAAAAATGTTTCAAGTTAGAATTTAAAATGTAAATCAAAAAGTTATTTGGATGATATTTTCTTTTCCATTGGATTTTGTGTTTAAGAGGTAAAATGTGTTAAAATGTAAAATAAGTACTTGTAACTTTAAGAAAATTGAAAACTCAATAGTGGTAATATGAATAATGGCATAACTTAAATACTACTACCTCCACTCGAGCATTTCCGTTTTTTTGCAAAATATAACCAAAAAATAATAAAATTACAGTGTTTCGACCTTTAAAATTATGGTCAACAAGTCATATAGGTTGAGTTAAACAGAGCAATAAAAAAACAACCCGAATTCTCTGAACCACTCAAGGAACATCTTATAACGTTGTTTCACTTGTTTATAATTTAGTTCTTTTAGAATTTTTGAGAAAGAAGAGGATGAGGATGGACAAAATTCATCAATCATTGAATAAGAAATCCGTCAATAACTTATCGTGCACATATTAATCGGCCAATAATTTAAAACTTTTTTTTGAATGATGTGTTATGTCAAAGTCGAGACAACATTATCATTCTTCAATCAAATACTCAACTTTTTTTTTTCTTCCTTCTTCGACCCTTGGAACTTTCCTGTTGTTCCGGAATTTTATATACCTTGCTAGTAGAATAATCCAGTGTAGGATAGAGATCAGAGAGAATACCAAATTCACGTTATGTCGTTCTCAACGTTTTTTTATATACAAAATAAGTTGTTATTTAGTGTTACTTTAGTATAAGGTTTCTTACAATGACACCACTCCACATTAACAGTGATAGATTAATTAATTTAATGAGCTTCTTTTTTCATAAATTTATAAAAGACGCAACTGAATTTGATGAAAACATAAGCATCAATTTTGTAGTATAAGTTATCAATTTATTTGTAATTTTATATTCTGAAATGATTCTCCTTTAAATTTTCATTTTTCATTTTATACGGACAATTATTTTAAGACTGACAAAAAAATTAATTAAGAGAAACTCTACTCCATCAATATCACCGTTATGCAAATCTTATTCAGTTATTACTTTTGGTTAATACTATTATCATCAAATTGAAACCTGCTCAGAAAAAGCTATAGTATATTACATTATCATCAGTCCTAAATTTTCGTGTTGAACTTGAATTAAAAAATCAGTTAAATTCGTAGTTTTCAAATGATTAGGTTCTGGGCCAAGGTGCTTGTTATATATGTTGATGTAAACGTTGCATGTTTCCTGTAGCCCACATCCACAGAAATGGACAAATGTCACTTATTTAAGCCCAATTATTGTAACTGAATTGGAGTCTGGTCCTTGTATGTAACAAGTTACAAGGATGATCAGACTGAGGAGTGAGAGGACTCCATGCAATAAAAGCCTAACAATGATCACCCCATAGCCCCGTCAGAAATTGAATTTGGAACTTGCAAGTTAAGATCCGACTCCATCCATCTTCCAAATGTGTGTGTATCCATTTGAATCCTATTTATCATAGGCATAATGACAAATAAATTTTAGGGGAAATTTAACCGATAATATATAACCGTCCATGATTATACTTTATCATTAAAGAGTTTATGCATTTAAGGGTTAGATAACAGGTAAAATTGAATCCCATTATTTTTTGTAAATTTTCTAATCAAATTTTTTCTACATCACCGATCTTATCACAGACATTTTTTCCAGAAAAGGATAGATGCTTACTTTATGCAAGAAAGAGAGGGTAAATTTCCATAATTATCTTTACCTTTTAGCTTCATTCAAAGAGGCGCTTAGTTTGGGCAAGAGCCTCAAGTTTTTGTTCATGTTACCCCGAGCTTCATGGTCTTGTTATAGAGAACGAAGAATTGAGTTGTGTCTATATAAAAGAAGTGTCATAATGTTTGATTACTTTAGAGTACACGAGTTATTGAACATGAATCGACAGTTAATACGTGGAAACAATTTTTCTTTTTTTGGATACAATGAAATAAGTCTTGGTTTATGATTTAAATTACTATGTTAACATCATGTGTCCGAATCCATCCACAAACTTGATTATAAAAATAATATATAAACACTAAATATTACAGTCAGTATTTCAAGTTGATAGTATTGTACCTTTGGAATTCGAACAAGGACGTAACTGCAATGATCATTGATAATCTATATCAGTTAACTGTATATACTGTATCATGTAATTATAATGTTTAGTTAAGGCTTGTATATATACTTATTAGTATGTATCTCGTGCGCTGCACGGTGGATTTTAGATATTAGTTTGTTAAATTTTGAATGATATTAAGAATTTACAAAAGATTTCAGTCTAATCCGAACATATATAAAATAAAAACATTCTAAATTAATGTGGTTGGGTCCAAAAAAACTTATAGGATTATCATTTTATTGATAAATTAATAATTTATTCAATTGATAAATTAATAATTCATTTATTTGAAGAATTTTTATATTATGGAATAAATACCCAACTTTTTCAGATTTTGTACGATTATAGTTTTAAATGCAATAAGGAAATTCAAAGATGAAAATTTTCTCAAATGTAAATTTCAAAAGAAAAAAAAAACTCAACAGTATCCCACTTTTCTAAATCTTTTTTGGAATTTTTTAGTATTTTAGATGATTATTAATTTATGATTTTGTATAGACCTATATTTATATATAAGTTTTTAATAAAATTTATTATATTACTAATCTAGTGATTTTGTTTGATTTTTGCATTAGTTTTAATTTGGGATCGGAAAAATTTATTACTTAATAGAATTCATTAATATATAGAGTACTAATTTATAGAGTTTTTAAAGTATTATTATAGATGTGCTGTAATTTTCTATGACAAAGTTCAAGTAGATTCAAGGAGATGGATGCAAAAGGGTTATAATAAATTTATGTTTAAGAAAAATACAAGCAACTCATTGTATGAAATGAAGCAAAATAAATTTAGTATTTAACACCATATTTTATGGTTTAAAAGACTTCATAAAAAATTATGTACTATATGTTTACCATAGATAAATGTACATTTGAATTTCAAATATTCAATTTAAACAGAGAATTATCCATATTTTTTAGACCATCGATATTGCCAAATCAAATATTAGCTGCATGAGCAAATTATTTCGATGTTGCCTAAATTATCCTTCCCTTGGTCAAACTATCCTCTTTCCCATCCGGTTCTCTTTCTTGAAGTTATCAAAATGTCATCTCTCCCCAAACCCTTCTTCTCCAGTCTCCTCCCTTCGTTTCTCGGTTTTATTGACATTCACTCTCCGGAAACCCTTCCTCCCCTCACCTCTTTTCTTT